AGGTGCTCTACCACTGAGCCACACCCCAGCCCCTCACTGGGGGATTCTAGGCAGGTGCTCTACCACTGAGCCATACCCTCAGCCCCTCACTGGGGGATTCTAGGCAGGAGCTGTACCACTGAGCCACACCCCAGCCCCTCACTGGAGGATTCTAGGCAGGTACCTGGAGCCACAGCCCAACCCTTCACTGGGGATTCTAAGTACTGGGCAGGTATTTAGAGTCTAAGTACTGGGCAGGTACTCTACCACTAAGCCACACCCCCAGCCTTTGTTATACATACTATCATATTGTCTATGAAGATTTCCTTTAATCTGATTTTATTGTTGTTGTCTGAATTTTTTTTTTCTTCCTGGGTCCGGGTCTCACTTTGGAGTCCCTGGCTGGCCTGGAACTCACCTTGTAGACCAGGCTGGACAAACTCACAGAGATCTACCTGTCTCTGCCTCCCTAGTGCTGGGATTAGACATGCCTGGCTGTTTTTTTTTTTTTTTTTTTTTTTTTTTTTGAGAGGTTTCATGTGGCCCAGAATGGCCTGGATCTTACTGTGTAGACATGGCTGGCCTGATTTCCTGATTATCTTGCCTCCACTGCCCAAGTCTTAGGATTACAGCCTTTGCTTTCGCTCCCAGCTGCCTTTTGGACTTTCAACTTGAACTTTAGTATTGTTTTTTGAGCACTGTGGTCACCAATCTTACTATTTTTAGAAAATCCTTTCCTTCATGAAGAACTTATGTTGTGTATGTAGATTGTCAGGGCTGGAGAGATGGCACAGCAGTTAAGAGCCCTTGTTGCAAAATCATGAGGACTAGAGTTTGGGCGCCAGCACCCACATAACAAACTGGGTATCCACAAATGCCTATAACTCCATCTCTGAGGGATCCAATGTTCTTTTCAGATCTGTGTGTGTGTGTGTGCACAGGAGCACACACCCACACACACATGCCGATACACTTACGTGCATACAGATGACACATGCATACACATCAGTCACTCAATCAATCAAGTAAATAAAATAAATCTTGGCCAGGCATGATGGTGCACGCCTTTAATGCTAGCACTTGGGTGGCAGAAACGGGGATCTCTGTGAGTTTGAGGACAGTCTGGTCCACATAGTGAGTTCCAGGCACCAGGGCTGCATAGTGAGACCCATCTCAAATAATAAATAAATAAATAAATAAATAAATAAATAAATAGTAAATAAATAAATAAATACTTTAAAAAATGTGAATGTCCACAGTAGAAAAAATGTTTTAAAAGATATTACAAGAGAAGCCTAAAGGAAAAAAAAATGTAATGAGGCATGGTGGCACACCTCTGTAATTCCAACACTTAGGAGGCTGAGGCAGGAGGATGGGGAGTTCAAGGGCAGCCTGGGCTACATAGGCAGATCTTGTCTCAGAATCAACAGAAAAGAATAAACTGGGTAATTAATAATTGTTTTTTAAAGATGGTTGCCTTTTTTCTTTTTGAGATAGGATCTCACTGTGTAGCCCAGGAGACCTGGAGCTTACTAGGCAGCTCAGACTAATTTTGAACTTGTGGTTATCCTCCTGCCTCAGCTTCTCAAATGTTGAGATTAAAGGCATGTGCCACCTTACCTCCCAAGAAGGTCCTATTGTAAAGTGGCTTTGTAACATTTTTGTTGCAATTATTGGGTAGTAAACTTTTTTGTGTCATTTAGTATCTTTGAAATAGGGTTAAGTTTCTTTTCTTTTCTTTTTCTTTTTTTTTTTTTTTTGGCCTTTTTGAGACAGGGTCTCCCTGTAGCCCAAGCTGGCCTGGAACTCCCTTTGTAGACCAGGCTGGCCTTGAACTCACAGAGATCCACCTGCCTCTGCCTCCCAAGTACTGGGACTAACGGCGTGTGCCCCCACGACCTGCAAGTTAAGTTTCTTTTTGACAGTATCACTTAAAAAACCCTTTTATGACAATTATGTATTTGCATCACACACACGCCCACACATGCCCCAGCACCCCAGCATGTATGTGGACATTAGAAGGCAATTGTGGGAGTCAGTTCTCTCCTTTGCTGTGTGGGTCCTGGGGATTGAATTCAAGTTATCAGGCTGCCAAGCAAGCAGCTTCACCTGCTGAACCATCTCCATTGCCTGACAGTATCACTTCTGTTATTGTTGTTTGAGACAGGGCTTCCCTGTAGCCCCAGCTGGCTGTGTAGATCAGGCTGGCCTCCATCTGGTGGAGAACCACCTGCCTCTGCCTCCTGAGTGCTGGAATTTAAGGCATGTGCCACCATACCCAGCTTCCCTTCAGTTTTGTTTGTGGTATGGCTACTATTCAGAACTTCAGACTGGACTGGAGGTGTGGCTTAGTTGGCAGAGTACTTGTCTAGCATGCATGAAGCTCTGGGTTTGATCCCAAGCACTTCATAAACCAAGCCTGTTGGAGTACGTCTATGACCTCAGAACTGGGAGGTAGAGGCTGAAAGATCAGACCAGAAGGTTCAGGGCCATCATTGTTTTCATAGAAAGAGTCCACTCTAGAATACTTTAGATTCTGTCTCAGGGAGGAAAAAAAAAGGAAAGAAAAGAAAATTTAAATTGTTTTCCCCTAAGACAAGATTTTGCCGTGTAGCCCAGGCTGGTTTTGAACTCCAGCTCTTCCTGCCTCAGCCTCTGAGTGCTTGGATTTCAGGTATTGGACTTCAAATAACTTTAAGCCAAGTTATGGATCTATTCCTTTGTCCAGGTGTGGCCCTCAGGTGTGGGGAGGCTTCTAGGGTCCATTCTTGAAGCTTGTTGGTGATTGTCCCTTACCTTCCATCCCCGCTAGGCCTTGGAGACTCGAGCCAGCCCTGGCCACACCCCAGGCTGTGTCACCTTTGTCCTGAATGACCAAAGCATGGCCTTCACTGGAGATGCCCTGCTGATCCGAGGTTGTGGGCGGACAGACTTCCAACAAGGTGACCAGCTCCTATATGCAGACTGAGATCTTAGTGTGATGCTGTGTGTGGGTGATAAGATGCTATTATACAAATGAGTGAAGGTGGGGCTGGGGCTCAGTTGGTAGAGAGTGCTTTCCTAACATGCATGGAGCCCAGGGTTCAACACCTAGCACTGCATAAATGGGGAATAGTCACACATGCCTGTAATCCCCAGTACTCGGGAGGATCAAGAGTTCATTATCATTTTAGGAAATATAGAGAATTTGAGGCCAGCCTGGGTACAGGAGATTCTGCCTCATAAAAATAAAACATAGGCCCGGTGTGGTGGTGCATGCCTTTAACCCCAGCACTCAGGAGGCAGAGGCAGGCAGATCTCTGTGAGTTCAAGGCCAGCCTGGTCTACATAGTGAGTTCCAGGACAGCTAGGCTACAGGGAGACCCTGTCTCAAAAAGACCAAACAAATAAACAAACAAACAAACAAAAATACCCATAAAGCTCAGCAGTTAAGAGCACTGGCTGTTCTCACAGAGGACCCAGGTTCAGTTCCCAGCACCCACATGGTAGCTAACAACCATCTGTAATTCCAGTTCCAGGGTATCCGGCACCCTCTTCCTGCTCTGAAGGCACTACATGTACATAGTGCACTTACATGCAGGCAAAACTTCATACACATAAAAGTAAATCTTCAAAAAAAGAAATTAAAAACCACCCAAAACAAGAAATAAAACAAAAGAAAGATGAGTGAATAAAAATGTTGGATTTTTAGACAGTATTCGACTCAGAGAGTTTAGCTACTGGCATGTAGAAAGACTTGGAAAGAGTTTAGCTGTTAGAAGACAGATTCGGGGGTGTCTCAGTTATCTGTTGCTACATAACTCCAAAACCTGATGGCTTTGAGCAGTGATTGACAATATTAGCTTGGAATATGTGCACCTGTAATCCCAGCACTTGGGAGGTGGAGGCAGGGGATGGACAGATTTGAGGCCAACTTTATCTACAGAGTTCCAGGCCAGCTAGGGCTACATAGTGAGGCCCTGTTTAGAAAACAGGGGACTGGAGCAATGGCTCAGTGGTTAAGAGCGCTGGCTATTCTTGCAGAGGACTTGGGTTCGATTCCCAGCACCCACATGGTGGCTAACAACTCTCCGAATTTCCAGTTCCAGGGGATCCGACAACAACCTCTTCTGACCTCTTCAGGCATTGCACGGCACGGGTGCGTTTACATGCGTGCAGGCAATACACCCATACACATAAAATCGAAAAGATAAATAAATGAAAAGTTGGAAAAACAAAAGAAGAGGCTAAAACAAAACCCAAAAGCCATTTATTATCTCATATTGGTTTGAGAGCCTGGAGTCTGGGGCATGTGGCTATGGGGTCCCGGATCAGGGTCCGTCATGAAGTCACAGTCAGGCTGCTGTCCTCTGAGGCTCTGATGGCATTGGGGGACTGCTCTCCCTGGTTGTGAGTTCTTCCTCACTGCTGGTAGGAAGTCTGATTTCTGTAACATATGCACAGTTCCCTAGGGCTGCTTAGGGGTTCCCGTGATGTCATATCTGGGTTCTCCCTGAGGGAATCACAAGTAAGACAGAGACACCCCAGTCTTTTTACAACCTGATCTCTGAACTTACACTACATCATTTCTGCAATATATTATGTATTAGATGCAAAGTTATTATTAATTTGAAAAAAATATTTATTTTGGCTTTTGAGACAGGGTCTCAAAGAACAGCACTGGCTGGCCTTGAACTCACAGAGATCCACCTGCTTCTGCTTCCCAAGTGCTGGGATTAAAGGCGTCCACCACCATGCCCAGCAGCAACATTACTGTTGTTATCAGTATTGTTTTTCTTATTGTTTTTGAGACAGAGTCTCTCTGTAGCTCCAGTTGGCCTGGAACTCACTATGTAGACCAGATTGGCCTCAGTCTCACAGAGATCCGCCTGCCTCTGCCTCCTGTGTGCTGGGATTAAAGGCATGTGCCACATTTAAAATTTTAAAAAATTTTATTGCTTTATTTTTTGTGTGTGAGTGTATTGCCTGCATGAATAAGTGCACCCATGTGAAATGCCTGTGGAGGTCAGAAGACGGCATTGGATCCCCTGGAACTGGCATTATGGACTGTTGTTAGCCATCATGTGGGTGCTGGGAACTGAACCTGGGTCCTCTGCAATAACAGCCAGTGCTCTTAACTGCTGAGCATCTCTCCAGCCCCATATATAATTTTTTTTTTTTGAGACAGGGCCTCCTTGTAGCCCCAGCTGGCCTGGAACTCACTATGTAAACTGTAAACCAGTCTGGCCTTGAACTCACAGAGATCCGTCTGCTTCTGCCTCCCTGAGTGCTGGGATTAAAGGTGTGTGCCACGACACCCGGCTAATTTTATTATTTTTTTAATGTATGTGTATGAGTGTATTGCCTGCCTGTATGTGAGTGCACCCATGTTGTGCAATGCAGCGGAGGTCAGAAGAGGGCTTCGGATTCCCCTGAAACTGGAGTTAAGGGAAGGTTCATAGCCATCACGTGGATGCTGGGAATCAAACTTTGGGTCCTCTGCAAGAGCAGTCACTGCTCTTAACCCCTGAGCCATCTCTCCAGCCCCCAAAATTTTTATTTTTTATGCGTATGAATGTATTGTCTGCATGTATATAAGTGCATCTGTGTTGTGCAGTGCCTTCAGAGGTCAAAAGAGAGCATTGAATCCCCTGGAACTAGAGTTACATATGGTTGTTAGCTGCCACATGGGTGCTGGGAACCGAATCCAGGTCCTCTGCAAGAGGATCCAGTACTCTTAACCTCTGAGCCATCTCTCCAGCACCTCCCCCCCTTTATTTTTGAGACAGGGTCTCACTATGTAGTCCTGGTAGGCCTGGAATGCCCTATGTAGACCAGGCTGGCCTTGAACTCACAGAGATCCTTCTGCCACTGCCTCCTTGGACTAAATGGGCATACCACCACATCTGGCTAACGCAGAGTTCTTAAGCCACACCTAGTCAAGGCGAGGGGAACTAAGTGTCATATTTCAGAAAGCAGAGTATCCAGGGTTTTGTGAGCATATTGTCTGTTTTGAGATAGGTCTTCCCTCTTGTAGCCTGGGATGGCCCCAAACTCATGCTCCTTCTGTCTCACCAACCGGATGCTGGAATTATAGCTGTGCACCACCATTCCTGGCAGCTCGTGAACACTTTTCATTTAATTTTTAATTTTTTAAAAATATTTTTTTATTTCATGTGTACGAGTGCATTGTCTGCATGTATGTGAGTGCATCCATGTCATGCAATGCCGCAGAGGTCAGAAGAGGGCTTCGGATTCCCCTGGAACTGGAGTTAAGGACGGTTCATAGCCGCCATATGGGTGCTGGGAATCGAACCTGGGTCCTCTGTAAGAGCAGTCAGTGCTCTTACTGCCGAGCCATCTCTCCAGCCCCTTATTTTTAATTTTTTAAAGACAGAATCTCATGTAGCCATGCTCTGTAGCCAAGTGTTCAAGGTGGATACCATCCCTTCCCAAGTTCTGGATTTAGTAAACACTGTATTTATTTTTAAGCACGGGGATTAAAACATTCATTACATTTTATGTGTGAGTGTTTGTTGTGGATGTGTGCATGCCATAACATGAATGTAGAGCTCAGAGAACAACTTTTGGGAGTCGATTCTCCCCTTCCACTATGTGGGTCCCAGGGATTGAACTCAGGTCGTCAGGCTTGGCAGCAAGTGCTTTTACCTGATGAGCCGTCTTAGTGTCCCAAGTGAACAAATTTTAAACCACTGTCAGGGCTTGGGCGCTGCTTAGCAGTTTAGTTGCCAGAGGGGCAGAAGAAGGATTCTGGGACTTAGCTGTTAAGATATTGTTAGAGGAGAGTGGGGTGTGGTGGCACGCTCCTTTTATCCCAGCACTCAGTAGGCAGAGGCAGGTGGATCTCTGTGAGTTTGACACCAGCCTGGTCTACATAGTGAATCCAGGCCAGTTGTGGCTACAGCAGGGAGACCCTGTCTCAAAAAGACAATAAAAAAATAAAAACAAAAAATAAAATAAAGATGTTAGAAGGGTTGGAGAGATGCTCTCAGTGGGTAAAGTGTTTGCCTTACAAGCATGAGGACCTGAGTTCAGATCCCCAGTACCCATGTAAAAACTGGGTGTGGTGGCATATGCCTGTAACCTACTGCTGGGGAGGTAGAGATGGGTGGATCCCTGGGGCTCTAGAAAAATAGATGAGCTTCAGTGAGAGACCCTGTCTCGAGGGAATAAGGTGGTGAGTGATAGAGGAGGACATCTGATATTCTCCACTGACCTCTGTGCATGTGTGTAGGTGTATGCACACCTCCCATGCACACACACAAGTGCACACATGCATACATCATACACAACACACATGCAACACACACAAATAAGATGGAGAGCAATTAAGGAAGACACCCCAAGCCCACCTCCATATGCACACATGTGCACATATATCCACATATGGGTGTACACACACACACACACACACACACACACACACGCACACACACACACACAGAGGTTATTACTGAATATTGTTTGATTGTCGGGGGCAGTGTAACTTTGAGGTTTAGCTCTGGGGAGCAATTAGATTTAAGGATTTCATTTCAGGGCTTCAGGGTTGGGCTGTGCTTTGAGCATGTGCTAGACTTCTGATTCTGAGGATTCAGCTGCCCCAGGCTGAGGTGAGGCCTGGCGTGAGGGAGCCACAGAAGCTGTAGTGCAAGGCAGGAGGAAGCCAGGCCCAGCTAAGCTCTTCCTCCTCCTTATCGCCATCTCGGTCTGCTGGCTTTTCTCTCTGGCTCCTCTTCTCCCTCTCCTGTTCCCAACACAGTCCCTAATAGAATGATTTAGGTTGAAATGAAGGTAGGAAGGAGTGTTCCAGAAACTGCCCTGTCTGAACTCAGGACTCAGAACTTGTATATGTGTGTGTGTGTGTGTGTGTGTGTATGAATACAGTGTGTTTGTGGTCTCTGTGTGAATATAGTATGTTTGGATATAATGTGGTGTGTGTGTGTGTGTGTGTTTGAATACAGTGTTTGTAGTGTGTGTGTTTGAATATAATGTATGTATTTATGGTGTGTGTTTGAGTGTAGTATGTGTGTGTTTGAATACAGTGTTTGTAGTGTGTGTGTTTGCATATAATGTATGTATTTATGGTGTGTGTTTGAGTGTAGTATGTGTGTGTTTGAATACAGTGTTTGTAGTGTGTGTGTTTGCATATAATGTATGTATTTATGGTGTGTGTTTGAGTGTAGTATGTGTGTGTTTGAATACAGTGTTTGTAGTGTGTGTGTTTGCATATAATGTATGTATTTATGGTGTGTGTTTGAGTGTAGTATGTGTGTGTTTGAATACAGTGTTTGTAGTGTGTGTGTTTGCATATAATGTATGTATTTATGGTGTGTGTTTGAGTGTAGTATGTGTGTGTTTGAATACAGTGTTTGTAGTGTGTGTGTTTGCATATAATGTATGTATTTATGGTGTGTGTTTGAGTGTAGTATGTGTGTGTTTGAATACAGTGTTTGTAGTGTGTGTGTTTGCATATAATGTATGTATTTATGGTGTGTGTTTGAGTGTAGTATGTGTGTGTTTGAATACAGTGTTTGTAGTGTGTGTGTTTGAATATAATGTGTTTATGGTGTGTGTTTGAATGTAGTGTGTGTGTGTTTGAATACAGTGTACTGTGTGTGTGTTTTAATATAATGTATGTATTTATGGTGTGTGTTTGAATGTAGTGTATGTGTGTGTGTGTGTGTGTGTGTGTGTGTGTTCAGAGCCAGAGGAGGACTTCATGTGGATGCCCTGCTCTATCACTCCCCACCTTATTCCCTTGAGTCAGAGAGTCTCTCACTGAACCTAGAGTCAGGCTGGCAGCCAGCAAGCACCAGTGATCCCCCTGCCCCCACCCCCAGTGCTGGGGTTACAAGAGCATACAGCCCACATAGTTTTGTTTTGTTTTTTAACCTGGGTGCTGGGGATTTGAACTCAGGTCCCCGTGTTTGTACAGTGAGCACTTTCACTTGCTGAGCCCCAGGACTCTTTTTATCTGAACCTTGACTTGTCCTTGTGCTTTCAGGCTAACCTGAAAGGCTAGCCTTTCCTTGGCCTCCTCAGAGTAGAGGGTGCTTGGGGACTTAGCCCACCTGTACTGAATCCCAAATTGTCCTGATGGAGTTCTCATCTGTCTTCAATTCTTCATATATGCTCTTCTACCACTAAAATGCCCTTTCCTCTATCTCTAGACAGACAGTCAGGTATTATTGGCAGATGAGGGAGAGGGTTTAAGCTGTACTGTATCCCAATCTTTTTCTGAGGGAAGGTGTCCAAGGGCTTCTTGTTCTTTTGACTTGCTGACCTCTCGGTTTTCCTTCCCAGGTTGTGCTAAGACCTTGTACCACTCAGTCCATGAAAAGATCTTCACACTTCCAGGCAACTGTCTGATCTACCCAGCTCACGATTACCACGGTGAGGGGCTTGCTGGAGGCAGTGCAGGGGAGAGGGAATACCCACATCCTGTCATCCTCACAGGGCTTGGAGACTACAAATCCCAGAAATTCCTGTGGCTAAAAAAGATTATGTGCCTGGCCCTGTTGTGTGTCTGTAGGGCATAGGTTTTCCTGGGACTTCCTTATAGAGTGCAAGAAATTGTGGGAACTACATTTCCCATAGTGCCCAAGGAAGAGGGCAAGTATCTCGGGCTAAAGGGGTGCCCCCGGGCCTCCTGGGTTATGTAGTTCTGTGATGACTAATGCGCTGGACCCTGGTAACTTTCCTGCCCCTCCTCTTTGCTGATAGGACTCACAGTGTCCACTGTGGAGGAGGAACGGACTCTGAACCCACGGCTTACTCTCAGCTGTGAAGAGTTTATCAAGGTCATGGACAACCTGAACTTGCCTAAACCACAGCAGATAGGTAACTACTTAGGGTCTGGACCTTTGGGTCTGAGGGAGTGGGGGCTGGGCTAGGACCCAAGGATCTGAGAAAGGGGCCGTCTGGACCCCTGGGTCTGAGGAAGGAGGGCTGGGGTCTGGACTCCTGGGTCTGAAGGAGGAAGGCCGGGGTCTGGATCCTGGATCTGAGGGAGGAGGGTTGGGTCTGAACCCCTGGGTCTGAGGGGATGGGGACTGATACTCTCAGCTGTGAAGAGTTTATCAAGGTCATGGACAACCTGAACTTGCCTAAACCACAGCAGATAGGTAACTACTTAGGGTCTGGACCTTTGGGTCTGAGGGAGTGGGGGCTGGGCTAGGACCCAAGGATCTGAGAAAGGGGCCGTCTGGACCCCTGGGTCTGAGGAAGGAGGGCTGGGGTCTGGACTCCTGGGTCTGAAGGAGGAGGGCTGGGGTCTGGACTCCTGGGTCTGAGGGAGGAGGGCCGGGGTCTGGATCCCTGGGTCTGAGGGAGGAGGGCTGGGGTCTGAACCCCTGGATATGAGGGAGGAGGGCTGGGGTCTGGACTCCTGGGTTTCAGGATGGATGACTGGGGTCTGGGCTTCTGGTCTAAGGAAGGAGAGCTAGGGTCTGGATCCTGGATCTGAGGGAGGAGGGTTGGGTCTGAACCCCTGGGTCTGAGGGGATGGGGACTGAGCTAGGACCCAAGGATTTGAGAGAGGAGGATCTCAGTTTGAGGGAGGAGGGCTGGGGTCTGGGCTTCTGGGCCTGAGGGAGGAGTTTGAGGGCTGGATCCTTAGGTTTGAAGAGGCTAGATTCAGGGCCAGAGCTGTTGTTCTTCAAAAGGGTCTGAGAATTTCTGGGCCTTGGTGGGATATGGGCTCCTGCCTCCATCCTGACAATCATGTGGGATTTCTTCTTTTTAGATTTTGCTGTTCCTGCAAACATGCGCTGTGGGGTCCAGACCCCACCGTCCTGACTGCAGTCAGCTGCTCTTATCCGTTAAGAATGTACTAGGTGGGGTGAGGGGAGGGCTGTCACCATGGAGCCTCTCTCCTCTCCCACCCTTACTTCCCCCAGCCCCTTGAGCTTCTTGAATAAAACTTTGTTTTGTTTTTGACATAAATCTGAGTTCTGCTTGTTTTCTGGGAGAAGGAATTGTGTTTCCAGATGAATGCTGGGACTCCATTCTGTTCCTTTGAAAAGAGCCAGGGGAGGACTGGGGATGTGGTTCAGCTAGCAGAGTGCTTGCCTAGCATGAATGAAGTCCTGGGTTCCATCCCCAGGGACACACCTGGAATCTTAGTACTTGGGAGGTAGAGGCAGGAGGATCCAAAGTTCAAGGTTGTTCTCAACTACATAGTGAGTTGGAGGCCAGCCTGGGCTACATAAGACCCTGTCTCAAACAAAAAAACAAAGTGAGGCTACAGCAGCAGTAGCCAGGACCATTGGGCAGAATGGAGGGCTGGGGCAGGGAAGGAGGAGATGCTAAGATCACACAAAGATATAGGGGGAGGTCTTTTCATGTCTTTACATGATAACAGACAATTTTGTTTGAGCCCCTCCCCCTGGGAGTCCCAGGGCAAAGCACAGCCTCTCTCCACCCCTCAGTTTCCTGATTTGTAAAATGGAAATAATAATAATGTGATGTTTTGATAAACTGATAAGCCCATCCATGTGAGTGCCTGGCACTCTGCCTACCTAGCCAACTCCCTGTCCCTATTACTGTCCCTATCATCTGGAGTGATCTATGTACTTCCTGGCTCTGAGTGACAGTTTACCCAATGGTGGTGAATATGGATTTTGAGAGACAGAAGCTAGCATTAACGTTTATGGACCAGCAAGATGCTCAGGGTGTAAAAGTGCTTGCAGACCCGATCATCTGAGTTCCATTGCTGGATCCCATGGTAGGAGAACCACTTCCCAATGTTGTCCTCTGACCTCTGCAAGCATGCTGTCTCATTTGCATGCCCACACTCTCACACACGTACTACTAATAAAAATAAATTTTGGGGCTCAGCACTCACTGGCTGTTCTTGTAGAAGACCTGGGTTCAAATCCCAGCAACCACACGATCCAGTTCCAGGGAATCCAACACTCTCTTCTGTCCTCTGTGGACACTGCACAAAATGGGTGCATTTACATACATGTATGTATAGCATTCATACACAAAAAAATAAAAATTAAAATAAAAAAAAACCATTTGGGGCTGGAGAGATGACTCATCAGTTAAGAGAACTGACTGTTCTTGCAGAGGACCTGGGTTCGATTCCCAGCACCCACATTGTGGCTAACAACTGTCTGTAACTCCAGTTCCAGGGGATCCAACACCCTCTTCTGACCTCTGTGGGCATTGCATGACATGGGTGTACTTACACGCATGCAGGCAATACACTCATACACATAAAAAACAATAACAACCCCAAACCCCCTAAAAAACCTCTTTAATCCCAGCACTTGGGAGACAGAGGCAGGTGGATCTCGGTGAGTTTGAGGTGAGCCTGGTCTTCATAGTGAGAATTTGTCTCGAACAACAACCCCCCCAACCGCACCCCCCACAAACAACCAAACCAAAAAAAAAAAAAAAACCTCCCCCCAAAACAAGCAACAAAAGAACCATTTGCAATGTTTGTAGGTCTTGGGTGCATTTATTTCCCCCAGTCTCAGTTTCTCCAACTATAAAGTGGAGACAGGCATTTCTTTTTCCACCGGGGTGTTGTATGATACTAAATTAAGGTGTGTTAAGTGTTTTCCACAGCTCTGACATCTGACAATCCTGTTTTTGCCTAAAGAGGAAAAGGAGCTGGCTGTGACCTTTAACTTCTGTCCTCCACCCCATTCTAAAGTATTCGTGGCAGCGAGGGTCACAGTCTGTCTCTAGGCAGGTCTCTGACTCAGCTCAGGGCACCCCCCTCCCCTTGACCAGCTTCCTAAACCGGTTGGGTCCCTTCTAAAGGGCTCATTAGAGGGGAGAGGCCCCCATCTTCATTCCTATCTTCCTTTGAGGATTCCCCGGATCTGGGCCTTAGGGAGGTGGCTGTGTACCGGTGGCTTAGACGCTTGGCCCTCCAGCGGGACAGGAATGGGAGTGCTGGAGGCTGGGTGGGAGGTCCTGATGCTGGGCTCTCCCAGGGTGGAACCAGAGGGGCTGGGATGGCCCCAATGCCTCGGCCGCGGGCGGGGCAAGCTGGTGGCTCCCTCCTCCCAGGAGAGCTGTTGGACCTGTTGTCTCCCCCCTCCACTTCCGGGCTGCTGGGGAGGGGGACGGGGCGGCCTTTCTCTCCTCCCTCCTCCCTAGCCACCTGTCTCCCGGCAGAAGCCGCAGTGCCCAGAGCCTAGAGCGGAGCGGGAGAGCTGGCCACGGCCGCCCAGGAGGAAGAGGAGGAGGAGGCTGGAGACTCCAGGGACCTCCAGGGAGGCGGCAGTTGGATTTCGGGAATCTCCTCCCTGGAAGGAGCGCGGGCTTCGGGCTCGGGGTTGGTCCAGAGTCCAGGATCCTAGGGTGAGGCGTCCTGGATGCTATTCCCAGCAGGGGGATCAGGACCTCACTGCGGGGCTCCGGAGAGGAGGGGCCGGCCAGACCCGGAGGGCGAGGGAGAGAGATGGGGGAGTCGCGTGGAGGGAGTCGGGGAAACTGAGGCAGGCTGCTGGGAGCGTTCCGGGACTGACACCTGGAGCAGAGGGAGGCTCAGGGTGGGACTTGCCATTAGGGGGCGGGCTGGGACCCCGGACTCAAATTCCGGTCCTGCCTCCAGGGGCGTGTCACCCTCGAGCCCTCAAGCCTTGCTCCACCCTCGTGCCCCGCCCCTGGAATGCTCAGCGCCCTCCTTTGAACTTTCGGCCCCGCCTCCCGGGACGCTCGTTGGGCTGCCTGGCGGTTCGGCCAGGGGCTCAGGTCTCCTAGACCACGCCCCCACGGTCCCAGGCCACGCCCAGGAGATCCTGGTCACGCCCACCCCGCCGCCGGACTCCCAAGCGGCCATGGGGACACCCAGCAGCCCGGAGGACGGGTCCGCGTCGCCTCAGGTTCCGGAATGCGACGCAGAGGTGCAGCCTCAAGGGGCTGCTCAGCCCCAGGGGCACCCCGAGGAGCCCCAAGAGCAGAAGGAGCCTGAGGCCCCGGAGGAGCTTCCTAGCGGCCAAGGCGCTGAGCAGCAGGCGCAGGAAGAGGAAGAGGTGGGAGAAGGCAGCAGCACCGAGAGCTGCCGAGACGAGGTGAGGGGCCCCCAGGGCTGCAGCCACAGGAGACACAGACAGACGGACAGACAGACAGAGACCCACGCGGGGACCGGACTCTGAGGGGCAGGTGGGGAGAAACCAGACAGAGACTCGGAGACAAGGAGAGACGCCCAGAGATGGGCAAGAGAGATAATTGAAGCCAGAGAGACCCCAGAAAGAGACATAGAAACTAAGTAAGACAGAGACACAGCGTGAGACAAAGGCCCGAGAGAGAGACACTCGAGGGAGGACAATTCAGAAACAAAAAAAAGAGAGATAGAAGTTAAAAGAAAGATGAAGTCGGAGAGACAGGGGAAAGACAGAGATCCAGGGACTCTGAGAAAGCAAAGAAGTTGGGACCTGGGAGCCTGAGAGATGGCTCGGTGGGAAAAGGTGCTTGCAGCCAAGACTGACGACGTGAGTTCGATCCCCAGGACCTACGTGGTGGAAAGGCGTGAGCTGACCTGTATGAAGTTGTCATCTGATCTTTACTGGCACGCAGTCTCAGTCTCTCTCTCTCTCTCTCTCTCTCTCTCTCTTAGGGACCTGCGATGAGGATATGCTGAGTGTTTCAAAAAAATTCAGTGAAGACAATCTTGGTGAAAGTGAGACATGTGATGATTAGAATCTGAGTGTGAAGTATTTTACCCTATCCAGACAGTTGAACAACACTTCTACAAAAGAACTCTAGAGAATGCTTAGATGCTAACTATGCAGCAAGGGAAGGATACATATTCCAGGCACAGAAAACAACCATGTGCAAAGGAGGGGGAGTAGAATCAGCTGAAAGATTGAAAGGAGGTCATTGTGGTCATTGAACAAAGTATCAAAGCCATGCCAGCCTCAAGTTCAGTTCTCTCTGTTGTGCAGTTGAAGTAAAGTGGGGGAGCCAAATCTTAAAGACCATAATCCTAACAAGCATACCAGAGTTTTGCTTCTACTCGAAGACATATGTAAATTAATTGAAGTTTCAAAGGTCTCTCTCTCTCTCTCTCTCTCTCTCTCTCTCTCTCTCTCTCTCTCTCTCTCCCCCCCCCACAGAGACCTTCCATGACTTAACTTTGAAGCTTTGAGCCAATCCCCCGGGGTCCAGTAGTCCCAGACCTAAATCCTGTTCCATCCGGACCACAATGGAGTGATGCTTGAATTAGGCAGCTCGTGACCCCCAGAGGAGGGGATGGATAGGGGTGGGGATATGACTGTGTGCGCCCATGCCCTCTCCTATTTCAGCCCGAAGCTACGCCTCCTGTGCAGATCCCAGCCACGCCCTCATCAAGCCTCCACTCTAGGGAAGGAAAGCGAGGGGCGGCGCGCCGGCTGCGCGGGCAGCAGCTGGAGGCATTGACTCGCGTGGCCCTGATGGAGCAGCGCGTGAAGGAGTTACAGCGTCAGAAGAAGGAGCTAAGGATCGAGGTGAGGATGGGGAGACCTTGGGAAGCCACGCTCCCAGCTCTTTCCACTCACTAGGGTCCCATTTGTTCCCCCAATCGATCTTTCATTCCTTCCTTCGAATGTAGGGGTTCAGGCTAGGGGCCCCTTCAGCCCTTAGCCCCAGGCTGTTGGACCCAAGCACTTGCTGTCTCTTGCAGATGGAAGTGGAGGTAGCCCTGCTCCGGGGTGAACTGGCTGGGGAACGAGTGGCCACTCGAAGGGAGGAGGAGCAGCTCCAGGAGCTGCTGGCGCAGCAGGTGGAGTCCCAGCGGAGCTGCCAGGAGATGCGGGAACAGGTGGGCTTGACTCCCTGGTTGGAACTATTCCTCTTGGTACTCCCTGGTACTCCTCGAGGTTGTGCCCCATATGTTGCCTCATTCCTCAAAAGGAGAAACCTGGGTTTCCTTTCCTTATTTTCCTGTCTAGGGCCCGATTTGGACCCCTGATTACTGAGGCCTTTCTTGGCAATCCCTCTCTTTTTACTCTTTAAATAGGATACTAGAAAACATTTCAAACCCACAAAAATGGAATATTCAGCTGGCCCTGTGTCCTGTGCACCCCGAATGGCAATCTTTTAATCTCCCCCCAGTTTGCTTTTCTGTCCTAATATTCTTGGCCCCCTACTAAGGCTCTAAAGAGGTACACACACAGCTGGGAAAGTACTCTACCAGTAAACAATGCCTGAGCCTCTCACTAAGGTATTCTAGGCAGGTGCTCTACCACTGAGCCACGCCCCAGCCCCTTACTGGGGGATTCTAGGCAGGTGCTCTACCACTGAGCCACACCCCAGCCCCTCGCTCTACCACTGAGCCACACCCCGCAGCCCCTCACTGGGGGATTCTAGGCAGGAGCTCTACCACTGAGCCACACCCCGCAGCCCCTCACTGGGGGATTCTAGGCAGGAGCTCTACCACTGAGCCACACCCCGCAGCCCCTCACTGGGGGATTCTAGGCAGGAGCTCTACCACTGAGCCACACCCCAGCCCCTCACTGGGGGATTCTAGGCAGGAGCTCTACCACTGAGCCACACCCCAGCTCCTCACTGGGGGATTCTAGGCAGGTGCTCTACCACTGAGCCACACCCCAGCTCCTCACTGGGGGATTCTAGGCAGATGCTCTACCTCTGAGCCGCGCCCCCAGCCCCTCACTGAGGGATTCTAGACAAGTGATCTGCCACTGATCTACATCCCCACCCTGTTCCGAGTTGTAAAAGCCCATTGCAGATATCATATTGGCTGTATATACTTTTAGCACGTGCCACCAAAGCCCCAAAACTTTTTTTTTTTTTTTTTTTTTCGGTCTTTTTGAAACAGTTCTCTGTAGCCCCAGCTGGCCTGGAACTCATTATGTAGACCAGGCTGGCCTTGAACTCACAGAGATCCACCTGTCTCTGCCTCCCAAGTGCTGGGACTACAGGCGTGCGCCACCATGCCTGGCCCCAAATTCTCTTTTTACGTGTGCTTATGATTTGAGAGGTGGTTTTTCTGTGTAGCCCGGGCTGACCTCTAACTTCTGATCCTCTTGCCTCAGCCTCCCAAGTGCTAGGATTACAGGTGTGCACTAGGACTGTATGTTGTGATTGGTTGATAATTTCAAGTGTTGTTTTGGCTCTGTTGGTCCTCTAGTGCTGGGTCTTCTGGGTAATATTTTGATTTGTTTTGTTTTAGTTTTTGTGTGTTTAATTATGGGAGTTGTTTATTTTGAGTCAGTGCCTCACTGTGTAACCCCTGGCTGGCCTGGAGCTTGCTATGTAGACCAGGTTGGCCTGAAAGTCACAGAGATCTGCTTGCTTTTGTCTCTCAAGTGCTTATTTTGTTTTATTTGAGATAGGGTCTTATGTAGCCCAGACTGGCATCGAACTTGTTATATATTTGGGGAGGAGTTTGAATTCCTGATCTTTCTGCCTCCACCTCCCAAGTACTTGGATTATAGGCATGTACCACCACTCCTAACAAGAAACTGAATCTTCTATCCTTCACCAGAAAGTGGCTAACCATGTGTCTGTGGGGACGGTCAGTGCCCCTCTGTTCCTTGTGAACACATGGTCACTCACTGTGCAGGCATGGTGAGATTTAGCCATGCTTTGTGCTTTGTGCACAAGTATAAGGGCATCAGCTTTGTGCAGGCCTCAGCGAGTCACCTTGATCTTGTCTTAAGACTCTTTTATCTAATATTTTAACATCCGTCTGGGGTCATGGTGTGGATCAGTTGGAAAATGTTAAAATTGTCGCTCTGCCAGTTCTGTCAGTGACCACATACATTTGTGTTTCCAGGGGCTGGGCTAGGCTGGCACTTAAATAGAGCCTGTGTCACTCCTAGCCTTGATTTCCACCCTGAGGCCTGTGTCTATTGGACCTGGTTCTGGGACTCTGCATTCTAGGTGTTTCTTCTCTCAAACCCTGAAATCTGAGCCTGCAAACTCTCCTCCTTTAGACCCAGGGATTCAGATCAAGCCCCTGCCTCAAACCCAGGAGTTTAGACTCAGTCCTCTTCCCTCAGACCAGGACTTCAGGACCAACCAGTCCTCTTCCCATAGACCTGGACTCAGACCCAGGAGTCTAGATCCCAGTCCTCTTCCCTCAGATCTAGAGGGTTGAGGCCTCAAACTTCCTCCCTCAAGTCCAGGATTCTAGACACCAGCCTTCCTTCTTAAGACTGCAGGGTCCAGGCACCAGGCCTCCTTCTTCTGATCCAGGCCTCTAGGCTCAGCCTCTTCCCAAAGACCCAGGAATTCAGGCCCTGTCCTGTTGCCTCAGACCCAGGAGTTCAGACCCCATCCCTCAGATTCAGGATTTCAGGCCCACTCCTGTGCCCTTAGAAGCAAGGGTCCAGGTCCAGTCCTCTCTCAGACCCAAGAGTCCAGACTAGAGCCCTCCTCCCTCTGACCCAGGGTTCCAGGCTCAGCTTCCTCCCATAGACCCAGGGATCCAGGCCCTTCTCTCCTCCTTCAGACCCGGCAGTCCTGGCTATAGCCCTCCACCCTGAGATCATATCTGACTAACACCACATCCTGAACAACTCTCTTCCCTATACTGTGATCTCACTGTCCTTTTCGTCACCAGACCAGAGTCCTGCACTTTGCCCTCCGCACCCCAGTCCCTCACCCCTGGGACCACTGATCACCATGCCATGACCTTTCTGCCTCCTCTTTTCCATCTGCATTGACCAGGACTGGCCCAGTATGCCCCTTCACTCCCCTGAGTCCTCCTGAATGGGCAAGTCTCCTCCAGTCCATCTCCAGGGGTTCCACTCCATCCCTTTCAGTCCATCCATGGCTCCCCACTGCGCCATGATAGTTTGTTGCAGTTGACCAAACCGATCATGAGTTGGACACACAACCTTCCCTGGGCCATCCCCCTACCTGACCCCCACTCCCCTCTTCCCACAACCACATCCTCTCACATAGATTGCCCAAACTTCCTGGATTTTTCCATATTTGTGCCCCAAATTCCCTTCTAGTTCCCTGTATCTCATTAGGTAAATGTTGCCTGGTTCCTGATGCTAACTGTAAAGTAAGCAGAAGTCATAGAATACTGGATCAGAAATAACCCCTGGATGCAGTTCAGAGGTGGATCAGCTACTTAGAAACCAGCAGGGAGGGGCTTGGGTACATGGCTCAGTGGTGGAGCACCTGCCCAGAATTACCCCAGTGAGGGGCTGGAGGAGTGGCTCAGGATGCTTATGTAACATGCATAAAACCTTACATTCAGGGCTAGAGAGATGGCTCAGCAGTTAAGAGCATTGGTTGCTCTCACAGAAGACCCGGGTTCAGTTCCCAGTACCCACATCATAGCTAACAACTATCCACAGTTCTAATTTCAGGGGGCCCAATGCCCTCTTGTGGCCTCTGTGGGCACTGTGCGACATGTGGTGCACTTACATACATGCAGGCAAAACACTTGTACACAGGGCTGGAGAGATGGCTCTGCGGTTAAGAGCACTATCTATTCTTGCAGAAGACCCAGGCTCAAATCCCAGCACCCACATGGCATTAACAACAATCTGTAACTCTAGTCCCTGTGGGTCTGATGCCTTCTTCTGTCCTCTGTAGGCACTAATGACATGGGTGCACTTACATACAGGCAGGCATAACACATACACAGGAAAAAAAAGTGTACACATGAAATAAATAATAAATAAGTAAACCCTTAGGTTCAATTTCCAGTGCTGCAAATAACTATAATGATGATGGTAATAATAATAATAATAATAAAAACAAGAAAGGAAAAAAAATAGTAGAAAAAGTAATTTAGTCAATGCTGTGTGTTCCCAGAGCCCCATGTTTTGGTGCCCTCAGAGTCCGGCGTTGTAACAGCTTGCACTCTGCCAGAGGGTGGAGCTGGGGTCTGATCTACCTTTCTCTCATCACTCACATAGCAAGGCTCTGTTTTTATATTCAGGCCTTCATTCTCTCTCTCTCTCTCTCTCTCTCTTTCTCTCTCTCTCTCTCTCTCTTCCCCTCCCTTTCTTTTTTTCGTTCCTTCTTACCCAGGTTGGCTTTGAACTTAGAGTTCTTCTGCCTCTACCTCTCAAATGCTAGAGTTTCAGGCATGTGCCACCATGGCTGACTGTCTTTGTTTGTTTAAGTGTGTCCCTGTGTCTCCTCTGCAACAGGCCCGTACAAGAATAAAGCAGACATCACCGGTCCTGCTCCCAGGAGCTGACACCCCAGCAGGGGCTTGGGTCCTGGCTGGCATGGCCCTTCTTGGTCTATTTCTCAGCTTGAGTTCTTGCCAACACTCATAGCCTAGTTGTTCTTTCAGGAACAGAGGCAGCTGAGTGAGGAGCGGGATCATGTGGAGAGTCTTCGCCAGAGACTCAGGGAGGCCCAAGGACAGCTTGATTCACAGCCGGAGGACCAGCGAGAGCGGCTCCTTCAGGGGGTCCAGGAGGTGAGGGGCCTCTGGATCCTCTCAGAACCTGGATTCCAGGCTCATCTTCCACTAGGACCTAGAGGTCTAGGCCCAGCCCTCCTCCCTCAGATCCAGGGGTCCAGGCCCAGTCCCCATCCCTCAGACCCAGGCATCCAGGCCCCAGCCTCCTTTAGACCTAAGAGTCCCAGCACTAGCCTATACTTCCTGGGCTCTAGAGGTCCCCTACTCTAGCCCCCTTGTGTCTCCATCTTCAGATCAGAGAGCAACTGGATGTGGCTCAACGTGCCTATGAAGATCTGGAATTTCAGCAGCTGGAGCGGGAGAGCCGGCAGGAGGAGGAGGATCGTGACAGTCCTGAGGCCCAGGCCCCAAACCCCAAGGTCCAGGAACTTCAGGCCAGCATAGTACAACACAAAGTGAGTTTCTGGGACCAACCTCTGTCACTAATTCTCCCTCTCCTCTATTCCCTGACTTCTTGAACATTCACTGGGTGCTAGAAAGGACTGAAACTATTCTTGCATGTTTGCTACTAAGTCCCAGCAGCAGACCACGAAAGCAAATCCTGTTCTTTTTTTCCTCATATTATAACTGAAGAAATTGAAGGCTGAAAGTCTTATGACTCCTACTGAGTTTGTAAAGGGATAAACTGAGATTTGTGTTTTTAAATTATTTATTTATTTATTTAGACAGGCTCTTTTTTTTTTTTTTTTGAGACAGGGTCTCCCTGTAGCCCCAACTGCAGTCCCAACTGCCCTGGAACTTGCTATGTAGACCAGTCTATCCTTGAACTCACAGAGATCTGCTAGGATTAAAGGCATGAACCATTACACCTGGCCTGTTTTTTTTTTTTTTTTTCCCCCATTAGTATTATTACATTGACTTATTTATTTATGTGTAATTGTGTGTGTATGTGCGTGTATGTGCACATGAGTGCACATGCCACTGTATACATGTGGACACCAGAGGACAATTTGTGGGAGCCAGTTCTCTCCTTCTGCCACGTGCATCCTGGGGGATTGAACTCAGGTTTCCAGGCTTGGCGGCAAGCGCCTCTATCCGCTGAGCCATCTCACTGGCCCAAGAGCTGGGATTTGGATCTACTGAAGTCTTTACCCACCATGCTCTATGGCTCTCCTGTTTTTGTCTAAAAAGATGTTCCCTCTCATTCTTTTTTTTTAAAATTTATTATTTTATTTGTTATTATTATTATTATTATTATTATTTTGAGACAGGGTCTTTCGATAGCCCCAGCTAGTTTGAAACTCACTATATAGACTAGGCTGGCCTCAATCTCACAGAGATCCACCTGCCCCTGCCTCCCGAGTGCTGGGATTAAAGACGTGTGCCACCACACCTGGCCATTCTTTTTTAAAAATTACATTTATTTATTTATTCCTGTGCATATGTATGTGCATGTAGGTCACTGGACATAGTATGTGCATGTAGGTCATAGGACATAGTGTGTGCTTGTAGGTCGTAAGACATAGTGTGTGCATATAGGACATAGGACATACTGTGTGCTTGTAGGTCATAAGACATAGTGTGTGCATATAGGACATAGGACATACTGTGTGCTTGTAGGTCATAGGACATAGTGTGTGCATGTGGGTCATAGGACACAGTGTGTGCATGTGGGTCATAGGACATAGTGTGTGTATGTGGGTTATAGGACATAGTGTGTGTGTGTGTGTGTGTATATATCTTAGGACATACTGTGTGCTTGTAGGTCATAGGACATAGTGTGTGCATATGGGTCATAGGATACAGTGTGTATGTGGGTCGTAGAACACAGCGTGTGCATGTGGGTCGTAGGACACAGTGTGTGCATATACATCATAGGACAACTTGTGGGAGTTGGTCCTCTTCCACTGTGTGGCACCTAGGGATCAAACTCAGGTCATTAGGCTTGGCAGGCAGCAAGCACCTTTAACCTCCTGAACCATCTTGCCTGCCCCAACCACTTGTTCTTTCTGTGAGCTACATGTTCAAAGATCTGCCTGGTCCTGTGGGAAAAGGGGGCAAGCTTGTCTGTGCCTAGCTCACCGCCCCGTCCCTTTGTTTTGACTAGGATCTCCTCACTCCTCTCCTACCAGGTTTCTGTCCTATTTCTCTCTTCCTTTCCTCAGTTTGTCTGCAAGTAGCCCATGTTACCTCAAACCTGCTGTGTAACCAAAGATGACCTTGAACTTCTGCTTTTCCTGCCTCTACTTCCTCAGTTCTGGGATTACAGGCATGCAGCACCACGCCCACTTTATATAGTGCTGTGGATTGAACCTAGGGCTTCATGCATGTTAGGCAAGCACTCTGCCACCTGAGCCACAACCCTAGTCCTTGTGTTTTGTTTGAGACACGGTCTCACTATATAGCCCAGGCTGGCCATCCTCTTCTTCAGCCTCCCAGGTGCTGGGATCACGGTCGCCCATTTTGGCCCCTCACCTTATTACTTTGCATTTTCTCTCTGTCTCTCCCTTCTTGGTTTACCCTGGTCTGTGTCCTCTTTGTCTGCTAAGACTGCCTTTCCATCCCTGTATTTCTCTCCTTTTTTTGCTACAGTTGCTCTTTTTATTTTCCTGTTTTTCTTTTCTTTTTTGAGATGGGCCTTACTGTATATATAAGCCTAGACTGACCTAGGATTCACTATGTAGCCCAGGCTGGCTTCGTACTTGCAACAGTCCTCCTGCCTCTGTCTTCTGAGTGTTGTAATTACAGGTGTGAGCCATCATGTCTGGCTTTTTTCTGGTTTTTTTTTTAAGATCTTTATTTATTTTAGAAATTGTATGTATCTGTGTGTGTGTGTGTGTGTGGTGTCTTTGTATGTATCTGTGTGTGTGTGTGTGTGTGTGTGTGTGTGTGTGTGTGTGTGTGTAAATGAATACAGGTGTCTGTGGAGGTTAGAAGAGGGCATCAGATCTACCGGAGTTACAGGTGACTGTGAGCTGCCTATCTTGGGTGCCGGGAATTGAACTCGTGTCTTCTGCAAGAGCTCTTAACCACTGTAGTGCTCTTAACCACTGAGCCATCTCTTTAGCTCCTCTCTCTGTTCTTGTTGGGTCTCTGTCTCCCTTGGTCTCTGCCTGTATATCGTCCCCTGCTTCCCATGTTCTGAGCCCCCACAAAAGGAAGAGGGCATAGGGAGCTTAATTTCAACCCTATCATACCACTCCCCAGTTCCTGAGGTCCCTGTGATAGGGTAAATCCTAAGCTCCATGGGAGGGTGACCTGGATCCCTGGGCAGCTGAATGACCAGCAGGGATCCCCTGCAGCGTCGGATTCAGGTTCTAGAGGAGCAGCTCAAGTCACTGGGGGAACAGATGGCCACTGAGAGCTGGGGACTGAGCCGGAAGAAGGAGGAGGCCGTTCAGGCCCTGTCACACGTGAGTTTCCTGAGACCTGGCCCACCTCCCTACCTCTCCTGGGTGTCCCACCATTTCCCTGTGCCTCTGACATTTCTGGACATCAGGAAGATGTGGGCATGGCTCTTTCTGCCTTTGAGCTGGGGTACCCTGATGTCTTCTTCTAGGAACGTAGCCGGCTGTTCGAGCTCAATTGCCTTCAGGGATCATGTGGTGGGGACTTCTCTGAGCCCAACCAAGCACTCACCAAGGTAGGGGATTTTCTGTACCTAATTGGACTTTCTCCCTCAGACACAAAGACCTGGGTTCCAGCCTGTTAGAACTCCAGTAACCAGGAGTCTGAGCTTCTGGTCCTAATACCCACAGATCCTAGAGTCTAGACTCCAACCTTTCTCCCTCAGACCAGGGGTCCAGATCCAGCCCTCCTCTCTCAGATCAAAGGGTCCAGACCTAGCCATCCTCCCTCAGATTCAAGGGTCCAGACTTAGCCTTCCTCCCTCAGATCCAGGGATCCAGGCCCCAGCTCTCCTCCCTCAAACCCAGGGATCCAGACCCCAGCCCTCCTCCCTCAGATCCAGGGATCTAGGCCCTAGTCCTCCTCCCTCAGATCCAGGGATCCAGACCCCAGTTCTCCTCCCTTAGGCCCAGGGGTCCAGGCCCCATCCAGGGATCCAGACCCCAGCCTCCTCCCTTCAGACCCAGGGGTCCAGACCCCAGCTCTCCTCCCTCAGACCCAGGGATCCAGACCCAGTCCTCCTTCCTCAGATTTAGGGATCCAGGCCCTAGCCCTCCTCCCTTAGATCCAAGGATCCAGGCCCCAGCCTTCCTCCCTCAGACCCAGGGGACTAGACCCCAGCTCTCCTCCCTCAGACCCAGGGATCCAGACCCAGTCCTCCTCCCTCAGATCTAGGGATCCAGGCCCTAGCCCTCCTCCCTTAGATCCAAGGATCCAGGCCCCAGCCTTCCTCCCTCAGTCCCAGGGAATTAGACCCCAGCCCTCCTCCCTCAGACCCAGGGATCCAGACCCAGCCCTCCTCCCTCAGATCCAGGGATCCAGACTCCATCCCTCATCAGAGAACTGGCAGTCTTTGCCTACAGCCCTGGCTCTGGACAATGAGGACCGTATTCTAGCTCTCTTGTGATCAGGAGATGTTTTTCCATCTGATGGAGGGGCTGGTCTGACATCGAGGACCAGAGCTTCTGTGTACTCCAGTGCCTCCCTGATCCCTCTGTGTGTATTTAACCTCTTCCCAGCTGCTGTTCACACAGAAGACAGACCGCCAGCTACTGGTGCTGCAGGATCCCGTTGTGCCTGCTGCAGCCACATCTACATCTTCCTGCGTCTTCTCTGTCCACAGCTCTTTGCAGGTGCTGCCCGAAGCCTCTGTTTTCCCCATGTGTTACTCTGGTCATTGGGGAAGGAGGGGCTGGGAGCAGAGGTCCCTGTCTTTCTAGAACTTCCATTAGAGTTCTCTGCCTAGGGATATGGGACTAGGGAAACTTGCTGACGGTATTTGCGTGACTCTAGTTTTATTTTTCCTTCTGCCTAATACCCACCTCTCCTATGGTAAGATGGGAGTCTGTAACCCAAAAGTAAATTTGAAAGTGACCAAGCAGGCTATTTTGATACAAAGGTCTCCTCTTGTCACCTCCACTACCCCCAAGGCCACCTCTCCAGAAGGAGGGCAGTTTCTTTTTAAATTAAATTAAATTAAATTTATTATTTCTGTGTGTGTGTGTGTGTGTGTGTGTGTGCACATGTGCGTGTGTGTGCATGCAGCTGGCACTTGTGCCACAGCATGTGTGTGGAGGTCACAGGACAACTTTGAGTTCAGCTGTGGGATCCAGGATTGAACACCCATTGTTATATTTTACTACCTAGTCAACTCTCACGCCCAAGGGATCCCGTTTCTTTCATTCATTCATTCATTCATTTTTTATTTATTTTTATTTTATATATTATAAATGTTTTGTATGCATGTAAGTGCACCACATGTCATGAAGCGCCCAGGGAAGACAGAAGACAGTATTGAATCCCCTAGAACTAGAGTTACAGATAGTTGTTAGCCACAATGTGAGTGCTGGGAGCAGAACCCAAGTCCTCTACAAGAGCAACCAGTGCTCTTACTGCTCAGACATCTCTCCAGCCCCCCAAATCCATTTTTCTTGATCCTTCTAGATTTTCTTAAATTTGGAGGTTCCAGGGCTGGGGGCATGGCTCTGCACTAGAGCCCCTGCCTAGAATCCCCCAGTGAGGGGCTGGGGTGTGGCTCAGTGGTAGAGCACCTGCCTAGTATTCCACTGCCCTGGTTTCTATCCTCAGCACAGGAATAGAGAGAGAGGGAGAGAAGGAAAACAAGAATAGCTGTACGTGTTTGTGTGTTATATGAATTATTTTTCTTGTTGCTGTGACAGATCTGTATGAAAACAGTTTAATTTAAGGGAGGAAGCATTTGTTTCAGTCATGGTTTGAGGGTGTAGTTTATCACAGCAAGGAAGGCCCAGAGACACAGGTGCAAGTGGCTGGTCACATGCATTTGCAGTCAGGAAGAAGAAAGAGGGGAATGCTCAGCTCGCTTTCTCCAGTTTGTTCCGTCTAGGACCCCACCCCATGGATGGTGCCGACCACATTCAGGGCTGAATCTTTCACCTTGGTTACACCATGTCTAGATTCTTTCTTTTCTTTGTTATCTTCTCCCCTGCCTTGTACTCATCGTCCCCCCATAGTCAGTCCCCTATCTGCTTCCCCACGTGTACTGTCACCTTCCCTTTTTTTTCTTTTTTTTGGTCTTTTTGAGACAGGATCTCCCTGTAGTCCCAGCTGGGTTGGAACTTGCTATGTAGACCAGGCTGGCCTCCATCTCACAGAGATCCACCTGCCTCTGCCTCCCAAGTGCCTGGATTTAAAGGTGTGTGCCACCACTCCCCACTTGGCATAATTTATTTTCTTGATCATAGCCATTCTGAGTGAAGTGAGGTGGACTCTCAAGGTAGTTTTAATTTGAACACTTAAAAAATTTTAAAGTTTTAATTTGAACACTTAAAAAAATATTTATTGACCTTTGCATTCTTTCTTTTGAGAATTGTGTGTTTAGTTCATTAACTTATTATTTGGTAGAGTTGGTGGTTTTTTAAAAAAAGTATTTTATTATTTTTTTTATGTGTATGAGTGTATTGCCTGCATGTATGTAAGTTCATCCGTGTTGTACACTGTCCATGGTTGTCAGAAGAAGGCATCAGATCCTTTGGAACTGGAGTTATGGAGGGTTGTTAGCCACTATGTGGGTGCTGGGAACTGAACCCGGGTCTTTTGCAAGAGCAGCCAATGCTCTTAACCACTGAACCATCTCTCCAGCCCTGTGGGGTGTTTTTTGTTTGTTGGTTGGTTTGTTGTTTGTTTAAGATTTGCCTGTCTGTATATTCTAGAATCTGTAATCCAGCTATTAACTTCCGGTCCGAAGTATTCCCGGAAATGACATTTTCCCCTATTTTGTATGCTCTCTTCACTTGATGATAGTTTCCCTTGCTGAGCAGAAGTTTTTAAATTTCATGTCACCTCTTTTACCAGTCCTTCGTCCCTGTGCTGTTGGCAGTTCTTTTCAGAAAGTTCCTGCCTCTGTCTGTTGTTCTCTCTAGCAGTTCTGGTATTTCACGTTGTCTAGTACTCTTTGATCCATTTTGGATTGTTCTGGATACAGGTCCGATTTCATTCGGCAGGTGGACATCCAGTTTTACCAGCACCATTGGTTGAATAGGCTGTCTTTTTTTCCAGTGTATATTTTTGACACCTTTGTCAAAAGTGGTGGCTGGAGCATTGTGAGTTTATTTCTCAGTCCTGCATTCTGTCCCCCTGGTCTGCATGTCTGTTTTGGTGGCGGCACCGTGCTGTTCTTGTCACTATGGCTCTGAGTACAGTTTGAGATCGGTGGCTATTCCTTCTGTTTAGATCACTTTGGTTACTTGTCATCTTTGTAGTGTAATATACATTTTAAGGTATCTTTCTCGTTCTGTGAAAAATGTCATTGGAGTTTTGATGGGGATTGTGCCAAATCCATAGATTATTTTTGGTGTTATATCCATCTTTGTCATATCAGTTCTGCTAATCGATACGGAATTTCCTTATCATCCAGTGTATTTTTCAATTTTCTTTTCTCAGCATCTTTTTTTTTGGTCTTTTGAGACAGGGTCTCCCTGTAGCCCCAGCTGTCTGGAACTCACTATGTAGACCAGACTGGCCTTGAACTCACAGAGATCCGCCTGCCTCTGCCTCCCAGGTGCTGGAATTAAAGGTGTGCGCCACCACGCCCGGCTTTTTCTCACTATCTTAAAGTTTTCATCATAGAGGTCCTCCACCCTATCGGTTAAACTTATTCCTAGGTGTTTTATGGGGTTTTTTCTTGTCTTTTGTTTGTTTGAAACTATTGTGAATGGGATTTTTTTCTAATTTCTTTTTATTTTATTTTTTGGTTTTTAAAAATTTTGTGCGTGGGGGCGTATTGCCTGTATGTATGCAAGTGCACCTTTGTCATGCAATGCCTGTGGAGGTCAGAGTGTTGGATCCCCTGGAACTGGAGTTACAGATGGTTGTTAGCTGACATATGGGATTCGAACCCAGGTCTTCTGCAAGAACAGCTAGTGCTCTTAACCACCAAACCATCTCTCCAGCCCCTCTAATTTCTGTCTTAGGAAGTTTATTATTGGTATCTAGAAAAACTACTGATTTTTTTTTGTTTGTTTTTTTTATGATTTTTTTGTTTTTGTTTTTGTTTTTTCTCATTGCAGCTGTTTTGTTTGTTAGTTTGTTTGTTTGAAGCAGGGTCTCCTTGTAGCCCCAGCTGTCCTGGAACTCACTATGTAGACCAGGCTGGCCTTGAACTCACAGAGATCCGCCTGCCTCTGCCTCCCAAGTGCTGGGACTACAGGCATGCGCCACCACGCCTGGCAAAACTACTGATTTTTGTATGGTGATTTGATATCCTCCAACTTTACTGAAAATGTTTATTATATCCCCAATTTTTCTGATAGTTTTCTGGTAGTTTAAAATTTCTTTAGAATGTTTATTGTTTAATAATCAATGTTAACAGTAATACTGTTTTAGCACTTAAGACAGGCAAGATTTTTAAAAAAGATTTTATTTTTATTTAATGATGTATATTCACATGAGCTAAGTACCAGTGGAGGCCAGAGAGTTGGATCCTGTGGAGCTGGAGTTACAGGAGGTTGTGAGCTGCCTGATTTGGGTGCTGGGGACAAAGAGCAGTCTACACTCTTAACTGCTGAGCCATCTCTCCAGCCCCCAAGATTGTTTTTTCCTTTTCTCCAGGTAGGGTCTCACTGTGTAGCTCACACTGGCCTCAAACTTGTGATCTTTTTACCTCTGTACCCTGAGTTGCTGGGATTATGTTTGTGTCACACTGGTTTAGCCAGGGTCTGTTTTAGCCATTGGTCACCTTGAACCTTATGGAACTGCTATTATTTGGAGGTAAGAAACAGTCAAATATTAACAATGTCACATGGGTCAACCTAATATAGAGAAACTTTTGTTCATATTTTGTTCAGAAGAATCTCTCAAAGTTGATTCTACATTGGGTAAAGGGTCAGCACCTCTCCTTGGGAAATTAATTTCCTAGCTAGTTTCTGTGGCAACCTGAGAAGCTGGTATTATTGGTTCTGTTGCTAGGCAACATGATAGCGCATAGTAGGTACTCAGTAAATGAGAGCAAAATATTTATCGATTTAGTGTATGTGTATGTGTGTGCGCAAGTGTGTGTGTGTGTGTGTGTGTGTGTGTGTGTCCGTTCCCATGTGTATGTGTTCTTTAGAGAACAACCTACAGGAGTTGATTCTCTCCTTCCACTAGGTGGGTCCCAAGGATTGAACTCGGGTCCTCAGGCTTGGCAGCAAGTACCTTTACCTATGGAGCCATCTCACCAACCAACCCCAGTTTTGTTTTTTTTTTTTTGAGACAGGGTCTCACATAGCCAAGGCTTCTCTTGCCTCAGGCTTCCAAGTGCTGGGATTATAGACCCAAGGAACCTTGCGAGGCTCCCATCTTAATTTGTGATCCCTGATAATTTAGTCTTCACACAGCAGCCGTGGTGATCCTCATCCCTCCCTCTTTACTAACTGCCCCATGTTGCATCCAGTGGCGCCCAGGGCCTCCTCTCTGTGTCCCAGAAGTCCCAACCTTGACTCTGCCCACATCTCACCCCTCTCTCTTCCTCATCGTCACTCTGCCTATTCCCTGGGGTGATGACTCTCCACCCCTCCCCACTTGCTGCCTTGGGCCTTTTGCACTTGCTGGCTTTTACACCTGGAGCACCCATCCCTCAACTCGTCTTTTGGGCCTGAGTGTGGTCTAACGAAAACCTTATCTTTCCGCACAGTAATTGCTGATGGTAGGTTCGTTTGTGTGAGGCCCCATTTGCTTCCTGTCACATAAGCACCATGCACTCAAAGCTTTGCTCTGTAGCATTTGCCTTTTGCTTGGTGCTGTGTCTAGGGTCTGTCTGACAGGAAGTGCTGGGCATATTGACTGGGAAGGGAAGGGAGGCACAGAGAACTGGGTGTCAGTCTTCTCTGTAAGGAGCAAGGAACACTTCCCAAGTCCCAGGATTTGAGCTTTGGTGCATCTGTACAGTGTCAAGAGAAGCTGTCCCTTGGGATTCACAAAGGATTGGTTCCAGCCACCGGAGGGGACTGTCTGAGGACACTTAGGCACCATGTGTAAAATGGCATCGTGTTTGCACAGGACCTGCGCACATCTTCCTGTGTGCTCTAAACCATCTCCAGTGCTGTACTTAGTGGCACAGCCTTGTTATCCCAGCACTTGGGAGGCTGAGGTAGCAGGATCAGCAGTTTGAGGCCAACCTGGGCTACATAGTGAGATGCTGTCTCAAAATAAAAGTAAAACCAAGAGAGGTGACAGATACCTGTAATCCCAGCACTTGGGAGGTGGAGGCAGGAGGATTGAGTTTGAGGCTAGCCTGAGCTATATAGCAAGCTTCAGGGCCAGCCTGGGCTATACAGCAAGATCCTATTTCTAAGTAAGTAAATAAATAAATGTTAAGATAAGAATAGCCAGGTGTGGTGGTGCACACCTTTAATCCCAATGTTCTGGAGGCAGAGGCAGGCAGAGCTCTCTGAGTTTGAGGCCGGCCTGGTCTACAGGGTGAGATCCAGGCCAGCTGGGGCTATAGGGAGACCCTGTCTCAAAAAATCCAAACCAAACAAACAAAAAGAAATAATAAGTAAATAATCTTGAGATGGCTTTTGATACTAGAAGGAAATGCTATGGTGGCATTTGCTCTCCTGCCTTGTTTAGATAGAATTTATTTATTTATTTTTTTGGTCTCTTTGAGACAGGGTCTCCCTGTAGCCCCAGCTGGCCTGGAATTCACTAGGTAGACCAGGCTGGCCTTGAACTCTGCCTCTGCCTCTGGAGTACTGGGATTAAAAGTATGAGCCACCACACCTGGCAGAATTTCTTTTCTTGAATATTCTTTGTCCACAGTGCATTGGCTACTGAATCCCTGGACAACTACACAATTGGGTACATAATTAACTTTGACAAATACTGGCTTTTAAAAATTTATTATTTATAGATTTTTAAAAAAAATTTTTGGGACAGGGTCTCTCACTGGAACCTGAGGCTCACCGATTAGGCTAGGCCAGCTGGTCAGTAAGCTCCAGGGATCCATCTGTCTCTGCTTCCCTAGGGCTTGTATTGCCAGGGCGTGCCATCAGAAATGCATTTTTTTACACTTATTTTTGAGGGGGGCATGTGCCTTGGCAAATGTATGTAGGTCAGAGAACCTGTGGGAGTCACCAGTTCTCTCCTTCTATGATGTATGACTCATCAGATCATCAGCTTTGTCAGCAAGTGCCTTTATGCATTAAGCCATCTCGCTGGCCCGATGCTTGGCGTTTTGTGTGGATGCTGGGGCTCAATCTCTGGTCCTCATGCTTGTGTGGCAAGTACTTTACTAGCTAGTTAGAAAGCCTTCTCTGCAGTCTTCAGATAGGCCCTGTCTTGTAGTTTCCACCACCTGCCAGTAATGCCATCAAGTTATGAATCTTCAATCTACTGGTGAGTTTAGAGCTTTCTCAATCAGTCACCTTCCCAAAGCTCATCAGCTCTTGGCGAGGCCAGTACCCCTTAAGCCTTTGGAGTTATTTCAGATTCAGACTCACAAGCCTTGTGTATTTTTAGGGGTCTATTGGTCTCCAGAGGACAGGAAGCCTTCCTCGAAGGAGGGGAGAGAGAGCAAGTCAGAGGGGTTCCCCCCGGCCTGTGTCCCTGCATTGTACAGGTGAGGATGCCTCCCATTTGCCTCCTGTCCTTGTCCTCACCCACCCTGCAGTAGAGGATGGAAACACAGCTCGGATGTTGGTGGGAGAAGTGCCAGAGTTATGGTGAGGATGCATCCATCCTCTTCATCCTGTGGCCTCTTCCTCAGGACCCTTGGAGGCCTCGGCTCTTGCGCAAGCAGTGGGGTCTTCAGGGAGACACCCCCTTTATCAGCTGTTGAACTGTGGGCCTGGGAATAGGTAAGGCATGAGGGAGAAGTAGGGGAGGGAGAGGAAGCAGGAGGCCCAGTCAGGGTGACCATCTCATCCCTACATTCCACCCAGATGTGGGGCTCTTCACCCGGACATTGCCCACATGGAGCGGCTCCTGCAGCAGGCTGTGGCAGAGAGGGAGAGGTTGCTCAAGGCCAGGGTAAGACCATAGGTCCTGCTCCTTGGGAAGAAGGCTGGCCGTAGCCCCCTTTCTCACATGCAGGAGTCTGGGGTCAGTCCTCCTCCCTTATATGCAGGGATTTAGACTCAGCCCTCCTCCCTCAGACCCAGGGGTTCAGTCCCCAGCCCCCCTCCTTCAGACCAAGGGGTCTAGACCCCAGCCCTCCTCTCTCAGACCCAGGAGTCCAGACCTCAGCCCTCCTCTCTCAGACCCAGGGATCCAGAGCCCAGCCCTCCTCTCCAGGAGTACTAGACCCCAGTCTCCTCTCTCACACCCAGGGGTCCAGACCCCAGCATCTTCTCTCAGACCCAGGAGTCCAGACCTCAGCCCTCCTCCCTCAGACCCAGGGGTCCAGTCCCCAGCCCTCCTCCCTCAGACCAAGGGGTCCAGATCCCAGCCCTCCTCCCTCAGACCCAGGCCCAGCATATTCTATGTCTTACGGGGTTGGCAACCTTGTTGAATTTCCTTCATGAATCCACAGGAAGGGAAGAGAAGGAACCCAGAAAGTTCTGCAGGCCCTGAAGTTCCTGCCATCATGGTCAGTCCTCTCCTGGCTCTGTTCCCTTCTTGGCCTTTGCCCTTTCTCTTTCTCGTTATAAAGAAAGACTTTATTTTTATTTTATGTATATGAGTGCATGCCTACTTGTCTTTAAGTGTACCATGTGTGTGCAATGCCCACTGAAGTCAGAAAGTGAGCGTCTGATCCCCTCGAACTGGAGTTACAGACCATTGTGAGCCTCTATGTGCCACCGCATGCTGGTGGTCAGAGGACAACTTTGGGTAGTCAGTTCTCTCCTTTCACCATGTGGGTCCTGGGGCTCAAACTCAGGCTGTCTGATCCCCAGGTGGCAAGTCCCTTTACCCACTGAGCCCTCTCATCAGCCCCTTGTTCTTGTTTTTGTGTGTTTGATTGGTTTGAGTGTATAGGTTCTATGGATTAAACCAGGGTCTTTTGTATGTTGACCACAGGTTCTGCCCCTGAGCACTGCCCCCAGTCTCACCTTTTGAGTCTTATTTTCCCCCTTGGGGAGCTGGTAACTGTCTCAGAGATTATTACAAAATGAGGGGAATATGTGAGGTATAAAAATCCATTCAATTTTTTAATTACAGAAAGATTCAGGGGAAGTAATTCAGTTGGTAGAGTTTTCACAAAGCATGCACAAAGCCCTGTATTCCATCCCCAGCACTGTGTAAACCAGTCCTGGTGGCTCATGCCTGTCATCCCAACACCCGAGATGGAGGCAGGAATGTTGAAAGTTCAAGGTCACCCTCCAGTGTATAGCCATTTAAGGCCAGCCTGGGCTACAAGGGACCCTGTCTTGGTAAAGTCAGGGAGCAGGAAGAGCTGTGGATGCTTCTGGGTGGTTCCACACAAGCTCGGCCTCATTAAAAATGCAGCACCCCTGCCTGGAAGCAGTTTGTTCTTCCCAGCACCATCATTTATTAAACAGTTTGCGACACAGGATCCCTTGTACAAGTGCCACGCTGTATTTGCGCACAGGAGTATGTGCCTGGAATTTGTGCCTAGATGTGCAAAGGCTGGGGAGGCGCCAGCTTTGGGAGGGTGGTGCTGTGAGACCCCATGTTCATTGCTGGGAATCGAGGCTCTTAGAGCGACAGTTCTATGAAAGTAACTCACGTGGAGGGTCATGTTGAGAGTCCCAAATCCACCACTTCTTTCCTGGATTGGGGCTTGGCTCCAAACTTCCTGACTTTGGTGAGTCGCTATCTTTCTGGAAGCCCCAATTTCCTCATCTGTCAAATGAGGACATTCTGGGTTTGGTTTAAAAACATTTTTTCTATTTATTTGTTAGCATATCTCTGTGTGTGTGTGTGTGTGTGTGTGTGTGTGTGTGGTGTGTGAAGTTGCACACGTGTGTATGTAGAGGTCAGGGGTTAACTTGGAAGATTGGTCCTATCTTTCTACCATATGGATTCTGGGGATCCAATTCAGGTCACTAGGCTTGGAGGCAAGAACCTTTACCCACTGAGCCATCTCACCAGCCTTGATTTGGTTTTTTGAGGGTCTCACTCTGTAGCCCAGGCTGGCCTAGATGATGACCTTGAACTCCTGATCCTCCTATCTCCATCTCCCTAGACCTGGGATTACAAGCAGGTACCACCACCCTTGGCTCTGCTTCCTCCCTCTTATGGGCATCTGTAGCCCAGGTTAACCTGGGATTTGTGGCAATCCTCCTGCCTCAGCTTTTCAAGTACTGGGATTGCAGGTGTAAGCTACCATGCCGGGCTTCAGGATGGTCCGTGTTAATACTGCCTAACGGCTATAGTGGGACTCACTCTCTGGGGCCCCGGGCAGCAGTTCCTGTCTGGCTCCTGGCTCCTGGTCATTGGCCCTCTCTACTCTCCGCAGGCCCCTCCCCCACCCCCACCTCCACCCCGCCCCCCAGGCCCTCGGGTCCTGGACCTCCCACAGCACCTGGAACGCTGGGGTCACAATCCAGAAAGCTGCCCCCACTTGAGGGTGTCCAGGGGCTGCTGTCGGGGGCCCCTGGTGAAGATGGGTGGCCGCATCAAGACCTGGAGGAAACGCTGGTTCTGTTTTGACCGCCAGGCACGGCGCCTGTCCTACTATGCAGGTAAGCTGCGCCCCCAGGCGGCTACAAGCTCAGGCGCTTTCATGGAAAGGTCCCAGGCACCTGTGGCCCCAGCCCTTCTTCCTTGGGGCTCAAGAATCCTTCAGACCCCAATCTTATCTAAAGGAATGTTGGCAACTGATTGCTGCTACTTGAGCTGATCTTCCTAAAACAAGGAACTCTAGATAGACTCAGCCGGCCAACTTGCACTGGGGAATGGCTGGGGGCACTGACAACACAGTGGGCAGTAACAGGGATGACAGAGTTTACAGGCTCCAGTGTGTGTTGGGGGACGAGGCTATGGAAGGGTGCCAGTGGGGATGGAGGCATAAAGATGATTAAGATTGTTTGAGACATTCTGTATGAAATACACACACACACACACACACACAATATCGGCCAACTTGCACTGGGGAATGGCTGGGGGCACTGACAACACAGTGGGCAGTAACAGGGATGACAGAGTTTACGGGCTCCAGTGTGTGTTGGGGGACGAGGCTATGGAAGGGTGCCAGTGGGGATGGAGGCATAAAGATGATTAAGATTGTTTGAGACATTCTGTATGAAATACACACACACACACACACACACACAATATAAAAAAAAAATCCCCACTTCCTCTCTGTCACTAGGATCCAGGTGTTAGGTCCCAGCTCCTTCCAAATACCCAGGAGTATGGGCTAAAGCCACCCAACCCCATGACAAGTCCAGATTCCCAGCCCCTTTCTCCTTAAGCCATTCAGAATCCAAATCCAGGCTCCTCTAATAACACAAATGACAGTTCAGTTCATTTCTGGCTCCAGATCCAGTTTTTTCCTAAGATGCTCAGTAGGCTAGACTTGTGCTGCCGGGACCCTCACCCTCTGCAAAACGCCAGGAGTCTGGGACGTTCCTTCCTAGAGGAATCTGGGTGCTCAGGCACTCCTTGCCTTCCTTCCCTTCTTACCCACCCAGGGCTTCAGCTCCTAGACCCATCTTTTTATTTATTTATTTTTACTTTTATTTTTGTGTCTCTGTGTGTATATGCCATATGCGAGGGTGTCCTGGGAGGCCAGAAGAGGGTGTTGGATCTCCTGGGGCTGGAGTTATGTGGGGTTGTGAGCCATCTGACATGGGTTCTGGGAACTAAATTCAAGTCTTCTGGAAGAGCAGAAGGCTCCCTTAACCACCGAGCATCTGTCCAGCCTCTAGCCCCAGTCTTGTACAGTCTTAGATCCTGTCTCCCGCTTGGCTTGCTTATTCATCCACTGCTGCCCAGCCATGGGACCATCATACTGTCATAATGTCCTTCACCCTGGTCTTAGGACTAGGGCCCGGTGACCCCAGTTTACACACACACACACACACCCCTACCTCTCACTACATCTGTTTCTCTTTTCTTGTCTCCCACCAGATAAGGAAGAGACCAAACTCAAAGGCGTCATCTATTTCCAGGCCATTGAGGAAGTCTACTATGACCACTTACGCTGTGCCTTCAAGGTGACCCTCCGTCCCCCAGTCTCTGAAGTCAAGCTTCATCCTAGGTCTAAGTCACCCTGGGGAGAGCCACACGCACCACCACTGTCAGGGCCCTCGCTGTCCAGCACAGGAGAATTTTGAGGCAGGGTCTTCCTGTAGCCCCAGCTGGCTATATAGATCATACTGGCCTGGATCTCCCAGAGATCCTCCTGCCTCTGCCTCCCTAGTGCTGGGATTAAAGGCATGTGCCCAACCACGGGTTTTTATACTTTTTTTTTTTTTTTTTTTGAGACAGGGTCTCCCTGTAGCCCCAGCTTACCTGGAGCTCATTATGTAGACCAGGCTGGCCTTGAACTCACAGAGATCCACTGTGGCTGGGATTAAAAGTGTGTGCCACCATGCCTGACCCAACCATGGCTTTTTAAAGACTACATTGGAATCCCAGGTGTGTGTCATTAATTAGGAAAGTGACTTCACTTCTCCAGTCTCAGTTTTCTCATATGCAAAATGGGCACACTTCAGCCCATTCCCTTGGGGTTGAAAATGTAGTGGATCTAAGTAGTGTTCAATTAGTGAGTTCTAGCTGGACATGGTGTATCCCAGCCCTGGGAGGCTGAGGCAGAAGGCTTACAACTTTTAGGCTAGCCTAGACTGTATATAGTGAGTTCTAGGCTATCTTAAGCTACAAGATAAAATCCTGTTTCAAAAATAGTGTGTGTGGTGAGGCATCCTCGACACTAACTTTCCCGTTACATACAAGGCAGATCTGATTTGGGGGAATGTATCATTTAAACGCCTGCATTTCTAATACATAAGAAAGTTGTACTAGGGTGAGAGGCCATAAGTCCTTTTTTTTGTTTTTGTTGTGTATTAAAAATTATTTATTTTTAATTCATGTATGAATGATTTGCCTACATTTACGTACACCTCATGAATGCAGTGCACACAGAGGCCAGAAGAGGGCATCAGATTTCCTGGAACTGGAGTTATAGCCATTGCTAGCTGCCATGTGGGTTCTGGGAATCGAACCTGTATCCTCTGCAAGAGCAACGAATGCTCTTTTTTTATTTTATGTGCATTTGTGTATTGCCTGCATGTAGGTAAGTGCACCCGTGTTGTGCAAGGCCCACAGAGGTCAGAAGAGGTTGTCAGATCACCTGGGACTGGAGTTACGGACAGTTGTTAGCTGCCATGTGGGTGCTGGGATTTGAACCTGGGTCTTCTGCAAGAACAACCAGTGTTTTTAACCTCTGAGCCATCTCTCCAGCCCCGAAACGAGTGCTCTTAACTGCTGATCTGTCTCCTGTCTCTAGCTACTTGTTTTGTTTTTTTGAGACAGGGTCTCCCCATAGGCCCAGCTGGCCTGGAACCCATTATGTACACCAGGCTGGCCTCAATCTCACAGAGATCCACCTGCCCATGTATCCCCTGAAGGTTCTTTCTTTAAAAAAAAAAAAAGTTTTTGTTTTGAGGCAGGGTCTCCTGTAGCCCTGGCTGCTTCCAAATTCATTACATAGCTGAGGATGACCTTGAACTTCTGCCCCTCCAGCCTCTACCTCCTGAGTGTTGGGATTACAGGTGTGCACTACCACTCCTGGATCCTTGGGTTGTCTTTTAAAATTCTGTTTATTCCTAATAACAGCATGGAATCTATGCACTGTCTTGTATTAATTCATTGAATTCTCTTAACCCAATACGGCAGGTAACACCCTTTGGGGCAGCTATAGTTGTAACCACTCACTTTGCTTGCTTCTTCCAGAGCCCCAGTCCCCGCCTGACCTTCTGCGTCAAAACCTATGAACGACTTTTCTACATGGTGGCCCCCAGCCCGGAAGCCATGCGCATTTGGATGGATGTTATTGTGACAGCTCGGGATGAGAACCACGCCCCCTGAGTGGCCCTCTTGGGGGAGGCGCGTCCCGGCGAGGCCCCGCCCTTCATGCGAGCAGGGGGCTCTGCCCACTTCTGGGAGGACGCGGCCCCGCCCCTTTAGAATTCTCCCCGGATCTCTGCAGCCTCAGCAGCTCAGCTGGCCTGAGCCGCAACCATCTGGGCTGCAGGTGGCTTTCAGCTGCGGGATCGCCAGGCCTTGGGCGCCCTGCCTGGGGCAGGAGGAAGATTACAGGGGGGCGGAAGGAACTATTTATTGGTGCTCCTGTGATACAGAATTAAACATGGTGGGAAAACAGGGTTGCCACTGTGGTTTACAACGCAGGCGTCCTGGGGCCCCTGTGCCCCTAGGCAGGCCCTGCGAGTTCTGGGAATCTCAGAGCCAAGTTTCTCTCTTTAGCATTGTAGACTTTCAACCCTAAGGAAGGTCAAGAATGGGAGAAGGGTTGGGGAGATGCTAGTCTGTAGATTTATCTACATCCACTCGTTTTGACCTTACTGGGCTTCCTGCAGAATTCTAGGAACTTCGAGGCCTCCCCCCTCCCTGCTTTTAACGGGTCGTTTGTTCCTCCCCCACCCCCTATTTTCCTTACTAAGGTTTTAGTTCAGCCCAACGGGTCCAGCACCTTCTGAGCTGGCCTGTCCTCTCCAGGACCTCTGTGGCTTCCAACCAGAGGGTCCCTTGTGGATGGATTGAGAGGACCCAGCCAGGGCTGTTCTGGTGTGTCATTCCACCAGAGGAGAACAGAGGGCCGGGGGAGAGAGGGAGGGTCCGTGCCACCTCTGGGTCTTTGGTCATTGAATCGGTTTCAACGCTTTACCCACTTTACCCATGCACCGTGTGGTATGTGTCCTCCAGTAATCTATTCCTGGTTCTTGAGTGGCATCATCTGCCTGCTCAGCCTACCCTTTCTGTAACAGTATGAACACTACTCTGAGCTTCACCCATTCTGGCCTTGCCTGCCTGGGTCATCCCTGCTGAGCCTGTCTCTTAACAGACTCTATGACTATGAGTCCTTATCTCGAAATGCAGGTCTGACCAATGCTTGAATAAATGAGAAAGTGATGCTGAGGGCCACAGACAGTTGTGATCCTGGCCGTCAGAGCTCTTGGGCTCCATCCCTAGGTCTCATCTAGGATATCCCCTGAAAGGAAGTTCTCCCCAGTCCCCAGGCTAAGTCAGACGCTTGTGAAACAGTCAGCTTAACAGGCAGATGACCAATGTAGTTAGGTCTCTGTGTTCAGAAGAACCCTGCCCTTCGATTTAGTTCTTAGTTTAGTTTTGGATTTGTGCTTTGTAAATGAAATGTAGGGGACAGTGCAGTGCGTTGGACAGGATTGGAGCCTCAGTAAAGGTCCCACCTGCTGCTGCTCTGATCACCTCTTCCCAGATGCATCTGACAGTGTATTCTAAGGAGACTGGATCAGAGTTTCAGAGGGCCAGAAACTTATTCTGGATAAGGCTGTAGGCTTGTCTGAGACCTGCATATGGTTCCAGTGCTGGGATGACTGCCACTACTGTTGTCTCAGTTTACTTGGGAACTCCTCTGTTTATTCCAGGCAAGTGGTAAAGCTTTTTCCTAGAATCCCCCAGTGAGGGGCTGGGGTGTGGCTCAGGGGTAGAGCACCTGCCTAAACTCCAGTGAGGAGCTGGGGACTTAGCCCAACAGTGGAACCCTTGTCTGGGAGCCATGAGGCTCTGGGTTCCATTTTCAGCACTGAAAAAAATATAAGGATTGCAAATAGACAAATTTATCAAATGAATAAATATGTATACAAACAGCAAAGAAATACACCAATCAATCAATCATATGAACAAATGCAACTTTTTCTGCTCTCTGGTCCTGGGCCAGGTGCAGGTCACAGTTCAAATCAGGCAGGCCTAAGCAAGAGGAGACTCCGCACCCTGGCCCGACTCCCTCCCAAGATGCTAGTTCTTCTGGTCTGACCAGTTGGGGTTCCTCCCTGAAACTCTCCCACGCTCCTGGGGCTCCGGGGCCTCCTGAGCCTAAGACACAGTAGTATCACCCTGCCTGCCACTCACTGGGTCTTCTGTTCCTCCCAGGTTTTCAGATTTATTTGGCAAAAGAGGTGCCTGAAGTCCAGAGATGGAGACTGAGTTTCCTGGAGTCACACAGCAAGATTAAAACTTCAGTCTGTCTGATTCCAGACTTGATGCTTTGCCCACTGTGTTCACCCCTTCCTTTCTTACAAAAAAGGACTCCTTAGAGCCTCAGAGTAAGAACCTAATTCTGGGTCATACAGCAAAGATAGTGAGGTGGAGGCAGAGGAGCTCGAGTCAGTTTTGAATGACTTCACAAGAAGTCACCTACTTTCTCTCTCTGAACCTTTGCTGGATGACAAAGGACCCCACCTAGGTGACTGAGGTGTTTGTCATTCTTGGGAACCAGGGTGCTAGGCAGTGTCTGGGGAACAGATATCTTTCTGAACACAGCCGCTATGTTCCTGCCATAAGCCAGCAAACTGGCCAGGTGGAGCTGAGTCTGCCATTCCCTACGCCCTTGAACTTGACTTTCTCTCTCTGAACCTTTGCTGGATGACAAAGGACCCCACCTAGGTGACTGAGGTGTTTGTCATTCTGGGGAACCAGGGTGCTAGGCAGTGTCTGGGGAACAGATATCTTTCTGAACACAGCCGCTATGTTCCTGCCATAAGCCAGCAAACTGGCCAGGTGGAGCTGAGTCTGCCATTCCCTATGCCTTTGAACTTGAGTTCAGCATATCTTCCTCTCTGGGTCTCAGATTCCTCCTCTGAAAAATGGGTCCTCTTCTCCACCTCTCTGAACAGGTTGTTTGTAAGAGGACTTGTATATTCTCTCTCTCTTTAAAAAATTTTTATGTGTATAAGTATATTGCCTGCATGTGTGTAAGTGCACCTGTGTCATGCAATGCCCGCAGAGGTCAGAAGAAGGTGTTTGAGTCCCTGGAGCTGGAGTTATCAACAGTTCTTAGCTGCCATGTGGGTGCTGGGAATTGAACCCAGGTCATCTGCAAGAACAATCAGTGCTCTTAACCACTGAGCTATCTCTCTAGCCCTCTTTATTTCTTTTTTAAAAGTGCATTTTGTTTATTATTATTGTCTGTATATGTCTGGGCACGTGCTACAGTGCATGTGTGGGGGTCAGAGAACAACTCTATAGAGTCATTTCTCACCTTTCACTATGTGGGTCTCAGGGATCAAACTCAGGTCATCAGGCTTGGTAGCAAGCACCTTTATCCTTTAAGCCATATCGCTGGTCCACCATTTTGTTTTGTTGAGACAGGATCTCAATATGGAGCCCAGACTAACCCCGAACTCACAGCCCTCTTTCTTCACCATCCATCATGCTGGGATTATAGGCATGTACCGTAATACCTACCACAACATCCTGTCTACATACATACAGCATAAGTGGAACTGTTAATAACCAATAATAACATTACAATCTATTTAACCTTTCAAAGCTAATGCTTTTGTAGTACCTAGAACTATTTATTTATTTAAAAATAATACTTTATGTCTGCAGCAATACAATTTACACACCAAACACTATAATGGAGTTATTTGACATAGTTTTAAACAGAAGAAAAGGGAACAATTTCAAATTAAAAAACAAATTTAACAAAAATCACTTATTTCTAAATGGGTCAATGTGAAAAATGCATTTAGTGGTTAATCATGTCTAATTCCTACGGCACTAATTGTCAATGGAATTAAAAAGAAAGCTGAACTTTCATGACTGCCTCAAAGGGGTAGCACATACTGGAGTCCTATGGTGTACAGAAATGATTCTTGCTATTCAATATGTAGAAAGTTTCACATCTGGTAACCAGGATCCCTGGGTACCACACTGCCTGACTTCTAAGACCACCTCCGCTACTTCCTGTCTGTGTGACCCTGGGCAAGTTGTTCAGTCTCTCTGTGCTTTGTAAATTAACCATCCTGAAAAGTGGGTAGTCTTCTCCACCCCTCTGAGCAGGTTGTTTGTAACAGGGCTTGTATATTCTTGCTTCAGCTCTCTCTTTGTAAATATTTTATGTATATGAGTGTATTGCCTGCATGTGTGTAAGTGCACCTGTGTCACCCAATGCCTGCAGAGGTCAGAAGAAGGTCTCATAGGACAGTTGCACACAGAATGTGAAACAGTGCCCAGCATGTAGAAAAGGTTGAATAAAGGGGTTGCTGTCATTGTTTCTGTTTATAGGGGAGGTCTCTGCATATCAAGGAGTGGTGGCCACTTGCCTGTGTACATTTATATCAGTAACAGAGTTGGAACTCAGACCCAATCACCAAGGGACATTACAAAATAACATTAAGATTTAAGACCAGACTCTAGCCAGACCTGGTGGTACATGCCTGTAATCACCACTACACAGGAGGCTAGGCAGGAGGATCACAGGTTCAAGGCCTTCCTGGGCAACAGTGAATTCCAGGCTAGTCTGATCAACTCAGTGAGACCTTGTCTCCAAAGAACAGTTAGAGGCTGGAGGGATGGCTCAGTGGGTTAGAGTGCTTGCCGCACAAGATAAGAACAAAAGTTCAGAACCCTGGATCCACGTAAAGTAAAAAGCCAGGGGTAACTGTGCACACGCCTGCAACTTCAGTGTTTGTGTGGGTTAGAGACAGGAAGATCCGTGGGGCTTGCTGGCCACCAGCCTAGCTCCAGGTTCAGCGAGAGACCCTGTCTCAAGGGAGTAAGGCAGAGGGAGATAGAGCAGGACACCAAACAGCCTGTCTTGCCTTCACAAGTACATGCATGGGTGTGTGCTCCTGCATATGCCAGGCACATTCAACACACACACACACACACACACACACACACACACACACTGAGAGGGCTGGGGATGTAGCTCCATGGTAGAATATATGCTAAGCATGTGTGAGGTCTTGGGCTCCATATCCAGTGTTCCCAACACACAAAATCACAAAATGCAATGGCCGGCTCTCAAATGAACCCTAAAAGAGACTCTGACTATGACAAGTGACTTTCAAGGGCTGTGCAGACAGCCCTGTGTTCAAACTCTACTTCTACCACTTCAGCTCTCTCTTGAACTTAGTTTCCTCTTCTGTGAAATGGACTCAGTCTTCCCTTTGGACAGTTCTCAGGGTATAAGAGGGTTCATAAGTGCTGATCAGAGAGCTCAATAGACCACAAGAGCCACACTTCCCTTAAAGGTGAGGATGGGTGAGACCGCGAAAGCAGGCGTTTAGAATAATTTCTGACATAAACACTTGGATCTTGTTTTTGCTGTTGTTATTTTATTAGTGTGAGAGAATGGGGTTTACAGGAATGAGCAGAAAATGGACTTAGAAACCTACTGACTCTCTCTCATAGTTTTTTCTTCTTTTGTTTTCGGTACTGGAAATGGGACCCAGGGACTTATGCATGCTAAGCAAGTGCTCTACCACTGAGCCACACCCCAGCCCCTCACTGGGGGATTCTAGGCAGGTGCTCTACCCCCGAGCCACACCCCAGCCCCTCACTGGGGGATTCTAGGCAGGTGCTCTACCCCCGAGCCACACCCCAGCCCCTCACTGGGGGATTCTAGGCAGGTGCTCTACCACTGAGCCAGGCCCTCAGCCCCTCACTGTGTTCTAGACAAGCACTCTACTGCTGATCCACATAAAGCTGAGCCACACCTTTAGGTTTCCCTCCCATTTGATTCATCAGTAATCCCTGCTAATTCTTCCTCTTAAAAATACTTTATTTTTTTTTTAAAGACAGTGTCTCATGTAGCATAGACTGACCTAGAACTTTCTGTGTAGGTGAGGAAAGTTTTAAACTCCCTGCACTTATCAAATGCTGGGATTATATACATTTCTTACTCCCTCCTGGCTAGAGAAGATAATATTTTAAAGATATAAACCCCTGGGGGCTGGAGAGTTGGCTCTGTGGAGAAGAGCATTGGCTGCTCTTGCAATGGACCCAAATTTGGTTCTGAGCACCCACATGGCAGCTAACAATCACGTGTATCTCCAGCTCCAGGGTGTCTGATGCCTGTGGCCTCTGAAGGCCCCTGCACTCACATGCTCACATAAACACAAGTACACAAAACTAAAAATAATAAAAATAAAATCTTCAAAGGTATTGATGCCCCTGTGGTAATTTGGAGGATGTTTCAAAGAACTGTGATTTTTGTGCTGCACTGAATCCTGTCACAAGGCAAGGACAATGGCAGGATTTTCATAAATCTTATTTATGAGACAAGAATAACAAAGCTTGGTTAAGGTTGTAACTTACATTAATGTAATAATGTGAGCAATCACTCATGTGTGCCAGGATGTGGGGATGCTTAGTCACTTGGTGGTTTGTGTAATGATCTTGTTTGTTTTAATGTTCGGATGTAGTTGTGGGGTGGTCTCCATTTTGCCTGGACCTTTCATGGTCACAGGTGACTTGGCCCAAGGTGTTGCTCTGTGAGGTTATTTCTGTGTAGAACAACTTCATGGTGCCTACATTGGCAGGGCCGTTTTCTTTACTTCTCCTATTCTTCCTCTTCTTCCTCCTCTTCCTACTGGTCCTCCTCCTCCACTTCCTCCTGCTCCTCCTCTTCCTTTTTCTCTTCTTCTAGCTCCTTCTTCCCCTCCTCTTCCTTTTCTTATCCTCTTCCTCTTCCTCTTTTTGTGATGAAAACAGGTCTCATGTATCCCAGGCTAGTCTCAAATTTCCTATGTAACTGAGGATGAGCTTCAACCACATCCTCCTGCCTCCACCACCCAAGCAGTGGAATTACAGGTGTGCATTGTCATGGGGCCCTGGGAACAGAATCCAGGGCTTTGAGCATGCTGGGTAAGCACTGAACTATATCCCTAGTTCTCTAACTTTCTTTTTTCATCTGGAAAACTTTCCAGCTGCACTCGTCTCCTGAGTCGAGTCCTTCTCTTGTCCTTTTGGATGATTTGGGGAGGAGTTTGAAACAAGGTCTCACTATGTATGCCAGGCTGGCCTCAAATTTATGGTAATCCTCCCGTTACAGCCTCCTGAGTCTGTGATTATAGGCGTGAGCCAGTACACCAAGCTTCTTTTTTCTCTCTTTCCCTCTCTCTTCCTCTCTCTCATCATATTTGTTTATTTATCATGTGTGTATAGGGGGGTGCATGTGTGTGTGTGGGGGGTATAAATGTGTATGGAGGTCAGAGGACTGTTAGTTCTCTCCTTCCACCATGTGAGTCCCAGGAATTGAACTCAGGTTGTCAGGCTTGGTGGCAATCACCTTTACCCCCTGAGCCTTCTCACCCTCCATCTCTCTCTTTCTTGATAGTCTCACTGTGTGGCCCAGACTGACCTCAAACTTGCGATGTTCCTGCCTCAGCATCCGGAGTGTTGAGATTACAGGGGTGCCACCAGGCCCAGCTTCCCCTTGTCTCTCCTGACAGATCGGGTACGCCTAGTGAAGTACATGAGCACATAGCTCAGTGATTCTGTACATCCGGGTCACACCCCCCCCACCCGCTCCCCAAACAGAGAGAGCAGGAGCTCCTTCAGATTGTCCTTTCTGGGGCAATTTCCTATTTTGCACGGAAGTCTAGTTTAGTCTGTCCTGGAACTCCATATGAACAGTTAACTGTGTACTTGCTTTGCTTAAGGCTTCTCTGAGCCACACAGTGTTAGCTCAGTGATTCTGTACATCCGGGTCACACCCCCCCCACCCGCTCCCCAAACAGAGAGAGCAGGAGCTCCTTCAGATTGTCCTTTCTGGGGCAATTTCCTATTTTGCACGGAAGTCTAGTTTAGTCTGTCCTGGAACTCCATATGAACAGTTAACTGTGTACTTGCTTTGCTTAAGGCTTCTCTGAGCCACACAGTGTTAAAGATCCACCTGTGTAGCTGCATATATATATATATATATATATATATATTATATATATATATACCAGTTATTGAAACTTTTCTGTGGTGGATAATATTGCATTGGGTGAGAGAACCACTCGAGTTTTCAATTCACTTTCTTTGGAGGGGCTGCTGAGGATGAAACTCTGGGTCTCCTGCATGCTAGGTGAGTGCTCTATCTCTGAGTGACACTCCCAGTTCCTTCCTGGGTGGATTCTAGGTAAGTAGGTGTTCTACCACTGAGCCACACCCCAGCCCTTCACTGGGGGATTCTAGGCAGGAGCTCTACCACTGAGCCACACCCCAGCCCCTCACTGGGGGATTCTAGGCAGGACAATACTTTTCAATGACTTTTTTTAATTAGAGAGGAGGAAAAAGTTCAAGAACTCTGTGATACAACATCGTTTCCTGAAGTGTGCATTGTGTACTTGGGAATAACTGTTAGTAAAGTTTAAGGTTTCTCATCACCAAACTATGATAACTATGTAAGGTAGTGTGCTTGCCGAGTGGCTGGATTTAGCCAGCCCATAGTGCATAGAGATTTCTTTGTGTTTTGTTTGTTTTGTTTTGAACTGGAAATGGAATTCAGAGCCTCATGCAAGCTGTTTAAATACTCAACAGTGAGCCACACCCCAGCCCCTCGCTGGGGGATTCTAGGCAGGGGCTCTACCACTGAGCCACACCCCAGCCCCTCACTGGGGGATTCTAGACAGATACTCTACTCTTGAACTGTAGGCCACAGTCTTAGGTCTCCAACCACGTTTTTTTTTGTTTGTTTGTTTTTTAATTCAAAATGTTTATTGCAGTGCCCAGCACAAATGGTAGGTGTTCAAGAATGGTAAATATTGTTTTTATAAAAATATTTTATTTCGAGCCAGGTGTGGTGGCATATGCCTTTAATCCCAGAACTCAGGAGGTAGAGACCAGTGGATTTCTGTGAGATTGAGGTCAGTCTGGTGAACATAGCAAGTTCCAGGCCACTTGGGGTTCAGGGAGACTCTTTCAAAAAAACAACAAAAAAAGAAGTATATTTTATTTTATGTATATGTGTGTTTTGCTTGCTGGTAAGTGTACCACATGCATACAGTGCCTGAGGAGGCAAGAAAAGTGTGTTGGATCCCCTGGGACTGGAGTTACAGATGGCTGTGAGTTGCCATGTGGGTCCTGGGAATTGAACCCAGGTCCTCTGTAAGAGCTGCCAAGTGCTTTTAACCTCTGAGCCACCTCTTCGGCCCAAGATTAAAAAAAAAAATCATTCTTTGAGAACTTTATGTGCATATACAATTTTTTATTATAATTATACCTACCCCCACTCCAATCACGAATGAATATTCAATGTTATTTCCCAGAGTAATAATATGGAAAAGTCAGATTTTTTCCATCCCTCCTTGTAGGGCCCTATACTTATTCTCCATTAGTCTCTTGTAAATAATAACTCAGTTTTTTGTCTGTTCTGGCTTTTTGAGACGGGATCTCACTCTGTACCAAATCCTGTCCTGGCATTCACCATGCCTCAGAACTCTTGGCAATCCTCCTGCCTCAGCCTCTTGAGTGCTGTGATTACCGACACAAGTCTCCACACCTGACCCGTAAATAACAGTTTTCCTGATTATTTAATTAATATCTGTCTCCACCATCAGACTGGTAGAGGACAGACACTGGATCTGCCTGTGTCCAGCATCATTCAGGCCAAGGTGGGCATACCACACAAGTTCATGACCCATGCCAGCCCTGAATACCCGTGGCCTTCTTTAAACTCCAGTACTCCTTCTGCCCCCAAACCCACACAGACTTTCTCCATGGGACCGTCGGGGCACCCAGACTCCCGCCCTTTCCCTCCTTGGCAAGCGCACAGGGCAGGGGCCCGCTCTCTCTATGGGTGACGCACCTGGATGCGGGCCCGCCCCACAGCGGACGCTGAGTTGGCCTGGTTGGGCAAGGCCAGGGTTGCCCCAGGGTAGGTTACTCATCCCAGGCTCAGGTAAGAGGGCCCCGGTTGGGAGGCGGCACACCCAGGGGGGACGACGAGGGAGCAGGACGCAGCCATGGACGCTGCCAGGAGAGGAGATACACAGACTAGGACCTGGACCACCGGATGGCTGTTGTTGCTGCCTCTGCTGCTTCGCGAAGGTGGGTGTGCGGCTGCGAGGGCACAGTGGGGGCTCCTAAGAAGGATGCTTCCCCAACCCATTACAAAGCCCTTTATTGAAGTTCTCCATCTTGGCTAAAGGCAGGGTGTGAGTTCTCTTAGCCTGGGCAAAGGGCTACAGTTAAGTTCTTCCACAATGAACCATCCCATTATACTGAGATGGGGTGCTTGGGGCAGGGACCCCCCCCCCATCCCGTGGGCATACACAACTGGGGAGGAAGGAAAAGGGTCCAGTGTATCTCGCATCCCAAGATGTGTGGGTAGACTGCTGTTCTGGAAAGAGCTGCGGGGTAGAATGGTCTCACGGGGGGAGGGGGGAACAGAGGCCGCGGGAAAGACTACTCAGTTGTTCTGGACCCACACCCGCAGGAGCGCAGGCCCTGGAGTGCTACAGCTGCGTTCAGAAAGCGGACGACGGATGCTCTCCGCATAAGATGAAGACGGTGAAGTGTGGCCCGGGCGTGGAAGTCTGTACCGAGGCCGTTGGAGCGGTGGAGACCAGTGAGTGCGACCCTGAGGTCTTTGCTTACCCTGAGCGGCTCCTCCAGCTCCGCCCCGCCTCCTTCTAGACCTCCGCCACTATAGCCACGCCCCTCCCTTTCAGCCTTAACCCGGACCCTTCAGCAGCACCTCGCCTCGCCCCTTTCTAGACAGGTTGGAGACTGACAGTTATGACCTGGGCAAGACTCTCAGGAGAACCCAAGGCTGAGAGGCGAGCACACCCCACCCACTTTTTCTTTCCATTATTGAGACATATCTATGACCCTCATTGCCTGCAGGAGTCCTCCCCCACCAACACAGACTCTGCTGTTACTGCGGAGCTTAGTCATGCAGAGTCCTTTGAAAGGGATCCCCTAGGTTCCTAGTCAGACTCCATCGTGCTGACCCAACCTCTCTATGTTTTCAGAATCCTGACTGTGGAATCCCACCCTCCCTAGTCAGCTAAGGGGCCTCCCCCGAAGCCTGGCCCCATAAACTGCCAGCCCAGCTCTGATCCTGAGCCCCCCCGCTCCCGTGTGTGTGTGTGTGTGTGTTGGAAAGGGGTGGGTCTAAACTACTAAGTCATATCTACAACCTCTTTCAAAGTTTTATTTTGTTTGAGGCAGGGTCTCACTATGTAGCCCTGGCTGGCCTAGACTTTGCTATGTACACCAGGCTGGCCTTGATCACACAGAGATCTACCTGTCTCTGCCTCCTGAGTGCTGCTGGGACTAAAGGCGTGTACCACCACACCCTGCCTCTTTTGAGTTTTCATTTTGAGACAGGGTCTTGCTAAGTTGCTCCGACAGGCCTTGAATTTGTGATCCTCCAGCCTTAGTCTCCTAAGTCGCTAGGATTACAAGTTTGCACCACCACCTCCTGAGCCCCACTCTGACTGTCTCCCCACTCCCCTCACCCTCCATCCCCCAGTCTCTGGATTGGATCCTTTTGATGCTGCTTTCTGAGGCTCCTCCCCCTTCTTTGGCATACCCCGTAAAGGCTCCAGTTTTAGCCCTAGAGTCTGTGTCAATCAACCTGTCCCTTTTTGTACTCTTTGAAATTCGCTTTGACCACCCCACTGTCCACCTGTGACTCTCCTGGGATCTGCTCTCTCTGAGACACCCCCCAACTGCCTGCCCACCCCCAATCCACGCCCCCCCGCCCCCAGCTCGCCGATTCAGGCCCTTCATCCATAGGTCTCGTTCACTGAATGCCCCGCCCCACTCTGGCCTGACCCCGCCCCGTCTGTCTCTGCAGTCCACGGGCAATTCTCTGTAGCAGTGCGAGGCTGTGGTTCGGGACTCCCGGGCAAGAACGACCGCGGACTGGACCTTCACGGGCTCCTGGCCTTCATCCAGCTGCAACAGTGCACCCAGGACCGGTGCAACGACAAGCTGAACCTCACTTCGCGAGGGCTCGACCCCGCAGGTCCGTAGGGGCGGGGCCTGAAGTTCAGGGGCGGAGCTGTACGGGGCCGGAGAGACTGACTGGAAGCGGAGGCAGGGCCTCACGGGTGGCGGGGATGGAGACAGCAGGCATCGCACCCCAAAGCTGATGATGGGGGCCGAGCCACAGATGCAGCGGGCCACTCCCTGGGATTGGGCCTGCTGAGCTGTCTGCAGTCCCGGCTGGCCTTGAACTTGCTATCTTGCTGCCCTAGCTTCCTGATAGGTGGGATCACAGGCCAACCTGCCTGCCCCAGCACGTCCCGCTGGCTGCTGAGTCCTCAAGACCCCCACTTCCTTGCTCCCCAGGTAATGAGAGTGCCTACCAGCCCAATGGCGCCGAGTGCTACAGCTGCGTGGGGCTGAGCCCCGAGAAGTGCCAGGGCACAGCGCCGCCGGTCGTGAGCTGCTACAACGCCAGTGACCGCGTCTACAAGGGCTGCTTCGATGGCAACGTCACCCTGACGGCTGGTGAGCAAGCCCACTGGAGGAGTTTGAGATCTACACGAGTTGGGATGGCCTTCCAGAGGCTTCTTGGACAATGGCGGGAGCCGGACCCAAAGGGTGCCCCCCTCGTGGGGCAAACACTGGGGACCGATCTTGAACTTACTGCTTGTGTTGTCCTACAGCATCATGGGAATTGTAGTCCAATACCCCTGGATTAGGGACACTTTAGTCCTAGGATGTGTTTTGTATGAGGGGGTGTGGGGTGGGGTGGGGTGGAGGGGAATGGAAGGATACATTTCTATAGGGCATTTCATGTACTCAGAACAGAAGAACATGAAATGGAACATGTATTTAAGCCTATAGACTAAAACACTTGCCTGTACTATGGGAAATCTAGTTCTGGGCCCTGAAAACTTAAGGGTCCCACTTGTTCCATAGTATTAAGAGATGTAGTTCAGGGCTGGGGATGTAGCTCAGTTACCGGTAAGGCACCTTCCTAGAATCCCCAAGTGAGGGACTGGGGGTGTTTCTCAGTGGTAGAGCCTCTGCCTAAAATCCCCCAGTGAGGGGCTGGGGGTGTGGCTCAGTGGTAGAGCACCTGCCTAACTTGTTCAATCATTAACATGAGAAAAAAAGTTTAAAAAGTAGTTTATAGAGTCCTGGCCCCTGTTTCATGGGAGATGTAATTCAGACTCTTAGACTAACAACGGAGAGCTGAGGGAGAGGGACAAAAGGGGAGTGTGTCTGCTTTTGATCACAAAAGTATCTCAATCCAAAAATTTGTTACAAGACAAACTGGAAGTTCAGGTTTCATGCTTTTCCTCTCAAAGCATTTTGTGGGAAATAGTGTGTATCATGAGTGGTAGACAGTGGGACAGTGCTTTGCAGGACATGGGACCAGAATTAAGATGGATTAGCAGGTGCAGAGTCTTTCTGTTTCATTTTGGGGGTTTCTCTGTCTTGCTCCAGAACCCCCTAACTTTCATTCTGGCTATGCCAACTCCTGTCTGTCCAACTATTGACCTTTCTATGCCTCCCTCTTGCAGCGAATGTGACTGTGTCTTTACCTGTGCGAGGCTGCGTCCAGGACGAATCCTGCACCCGGGATGGAGTGACAGGTCCGGGATTTACGCTCAGCGGCTCTTGCTGTCAAGGGTCCCGTTGTAACTCAGATCTCCGAAACAAGACCTACTTCTCCTCTCGAATCCCACCCCTTGTCCTGCTGCCCCCTCCAACCACTTCAGCCCCATCCACCCAGGCCCCAACCATGTCCAGCACCACCTCCACCCCAGCCCCAACTACCTCCACCTTTACCACCAAACCCACCTCAGCCCCAGACAGCCATAGTTCTCATGAAGTAGAACATGAAGCTGCCCATGAAGATGAGTCCAGGCTGGGAGGTGCTGCTGGCCATCAGGATCGCAGTAATATGGGGCAGTACCCCACAAAAGGTGGGGCCCAGGTTCCTGGTAGCAAAGGGTCTGCAGCTTCCAGGGCTGGCTTGACTGCTCTTTTGTTGACTGTGGCTGCTGGTGTCCTGCTGTGAGTTTTCCATCTGGAAATGTCCATCTTACCTTACTCCCCTGGCCCCCCAGGTACCAAGTCTTTCTGTTTCTCCCATTCCTTATCAGTGGACTGGGCTGGCCCAGTCCTCATCCTCCAGTATCCCTCAGTTCACTGCACTGGTTTGCAGGTCTGGAAATAAACTTCCTGTTGTAAATACACTGCTGGGGTAGCCTGACTTTTTGAGGCAGCAACTGCACCCCCATCTTATGGTGACCAGGACAGAGGGAAGAGAAGTCTGCTGGTCTAGGGAGAGTGGGACAGCCTATGAGAAGCTTCCCGACATGTTCTCCTGACCAGGCAGGTGGACAATGGCTTCATCCTTTGAGTGCTGCCCCTGTCCTGCCATTGGTTTGGGAATCTTGTCTCCTGCCTTCCTTACTAGACTGTGAGCTCCTCTGGGGCAGGGGCAGCCTTTGGCCTTTCACTGTTTTCTGGCACAGAAAGGCTTCAATAAAGATTTAGTTACTTTGTATAGTGCTGTTAAGGAGTCACTTCAACTTTATTCAGTTTTCAAAATAACCTTTTTCCCCTCCCTCCCATGGGCAACTGCACTCACATGCACAAACCCACACACAGATTTACGTAACATATACATGTACATATAGTTGTTAGCCACCATGTGGGGGCTGAGAATCAAACACAGGTCCTTTGCAAGAGCAGCCAGTGCTCTTAACCAATGAGCCATCTTTCCAGGCCCTAATTAAAAATTTTTAAAAATCTTTAAAAATTTCATTTATCTATTTATTATTTATTTATTTATTTATTTATTTATTTATTATTTTTGTGTGTGTATGTGTATGGGTGTGTACATGCCACAGCACACATGTGGAGGTCAGAGGACAGCATGTGGGAGTTGGTTCTCTCTTTCCACCTTGTGGATCTCAGGAATGGATCTCAGGCTGTCAGTCTTGGTGGCAAGCACCTTTACCTGCCAAGCATCTCACTGACTTGTGATGATCCCACTGGTGAGGGGGAGACCAGGTTGAAGCCATTAAGCAGTATGGAGGGTGACTGGGTCTTCTGGCAAACCAGGCAAGGAGACTTTTAGTCCAACAAATGTGTGACCCTCTCCAGGGCCCTAGCCCCCTCGTCCCCACCCCTCCATGGCCACTTCCTCCTCTCCCTAGGCTCCTCCCTTCTCACCATTTGGTTTAAGAGAAATTATTCGGTGAGCTCAAGTGCTGCCGTCCACCATACAAAGGGCCAAAGATATTGCCATCAGTTTTCCCTTGGTGATGGGGACTTTGGACTGGCGTCCCACCTCCATTTCCACCCAATTAGATGAAACCTGGTTCCAAAGGGAAACGCCTGGATTAGAAATGAATGCCGGCGATTTTAGGCAACTCAACTGCTTGATGTGGGAAACAGGAAAATAATAATACTGCCAATAGTGGTGCATTCGTTCGGGGAGGGGGCAGAATGAGGTCATATTAACCAAACAATACCCCAGTTTGGTGGCACACTCCTGTAATCCCAGGCCTCAGGAGGAAGAGGCAGGAGAATCTCTAGGCGAGTTCTAGGCCAGCTTGGTCTGCATAGCAAATTCTAGGCCAGCTGAGGCTACAAAAACAAGGGGGCTGGAGAGATGGCTTAGCAGTTAAGAGCGCTGACTGCTCTTGTAGTGGACCAGGTTCAGTTCCCAGCACCCACATGGTGGCTGACAACCACCCAGTTCCAGGGGATCTGATGCCCTCTTCTGGCCTCTGCAGGCAGTGCATACATATGGTGTATTTACATATATGCAGGCAAAATACACACATAAAAATAAATAAATAAATAAATATTACAAAACAGCCTCCCCAAACAAAATCAAACAAAACAAAAAATAGTAGATAAAGGTCATGGGAGGTGTCATTACTTAACAAATGCCCTGTGTGTGATGCCTGCATACATAGAAAATTGCTGTTAATAACAGTAAATAGAGTTACAGAAACTTTAGTAGTTGAAGAAAGTCTGGACAGGGCTAGCAAGATGACTTAGACGGTAAAGATGCTTGCAGCTAAACCCAACCCCAGGACCCACATGATGGAAGGAGAGAATCGACTCCTGAAAGTTGTCCTATGATTTTTACATGTGAACTCCTACACACATACAGATACATTCAGTCACAATAATAAATAAATACAACTAAAGGGAAGTCTTTCCAAATGCCAAGGTTGTGATACATGTATTTGTACCTGCTATCCTCATATGGGAAAGGGGAAACTGAGGCTCAGAAAAGTACTATTATATTTATGCTATAGGTACTGTGTAAAGTGTGCTATTTGGACTAATGTATTTAATCTTTGTTTTAAAAGATTTTACTATTTTATTTTGGTTTGGTTTTTGGTTTTTCGAGACAGGGTCTCCCTGTAGCCCCAGCTGGCCTGGAACTCATTATGTAGACCAGGATGGCCTTGAACTCACAGAGATCTTCCTGCCTCTGCCTCCTGAGTACTATGATTAAAGCCCTGTGCTACCATGCTTGGCCTAGATTTTGTTTTTTTTTTAATATTTTATTTATTATTTTTATTTTATGTGTTTGAGTGTATTGCCTGCATGTATGTGAATGCACCCGTGTCGTGCAATGCTGTGGAGGTCAGAAGAGGGCTTTAGATTCCCCCAGAACTGGAGTTAAGGACAGTTCATAGCTGCCATGTGGGTGCTGGGAATTGAACCCAGGTCCTCTGCAAGAGCAGTCGGTGCTCTTAACCACTGAGCCATCTTTCCAGCCCCTTGTTCTTTTTATTTATGTTGTACGTGTGTGTGTCTTTGTGTGGGTATGGTGCTATGACACACGTGTGGAGGTCAGAGAACAACTTGTGAGAGTTGAACTCAGGCCATCAGATCTGGTGGCAAGCATTCTTAACTGCTGAGTCAACTGCTGAGCCATTGCTGACCCATCTCACTTGCTCCCACTTTTTTTTTTTTTGAGATATAATCTCTCTATATTTAGCCCTGGCTGGCCTGGAACCTGCTTTATAGACCAGGCTGACCTTGAATTCACAGAGCTCTGCTTCTGCCTCCTGAGTGCTGGGATTAAAGGTGTGTACCACCATACTTGCTTATGTTTTGTTTTTTGACACAAGTCTTATGTAGCACAGGCTGGCCAGAAACTTGTTTGGTAGCTAAGGATGGCCTTGAAATCTTAATCTTCTACCTCCCAAGTGCTAGGATTACTGGCATATGCCACTATGCCCACCGATTCTATCAACTGTACTTTATAAGATGAAATCAGGCCCAAAGAGGTTGAAATGCTTGCCCCAGGTTACACAGCTAATAAACAGTAGAGTCTGAATTTGAACCTGTGTAGATTGGCCTGACAGAACTTATAGTTGTTGTCAGCCTGACACAACTTCAGATAGGTTTCTTCCTGTTACACCCCAGCCTCTTACTGGGGATTCTAGGCAGGCGCTCCACCACTGAGCCACACCCCAGCCCCTCACACTGGAGAAGTTGGAACTTTTTTCTACCTACTTAAGGGTAAAATGCTTACATAATTAAAAAAAATTCTACATGAATGGGGCTGGAGAGATGGCAGCAGTTAAGAGCACTGATTGCTCTTGCAGAAGACCCGGGTTCGAGTCCCAGCACCCACATGGCGGCTACGAACCATCCTTAACTCCATTCCAGGGGAATCTGAAGCCCTCTTCTGACCTCCGTGGCATTGCATGACATGGGTGCACTCACATACATGCAGACAATACACTCATGCACATAAAATAAAAATAATAAATAAAATGTAAAAAAAATCCTGCATGAAGCATTTATCTAGTCTTCATTTACTTGTTAATTTGTTAATTTGTATTTATTTGTTTTGTGAGACAGTGTCTCATGTACCCCAGGCTGGCCTCAACTTGTTATATAGTCAAGAATGATCTTGAATTTCTGATCTTTGTGCCTCCGCCTTTCAAATGCTGGAACTATAGGTGTTTGAAACCACACCCAGTTTGTAAAGTGCTTGGGATCAAACCTAGAGTTTAGTGCATGCACGCAAGCATTCTACCAACTAAGCCTCTTGTTTATTTAGACAAGGTCTCTCTATGTAGCACAGGCTGGCCTTGAAGGGAGATCCTCTTGGGTCAGCCTCCTGAGTCCTGGGGTTGCATGCACGTGCCATCATACTTAGCTTTTCTTTTTTCTCTTCTTCCCCTTCCCTTCCCTCTCTTCCTCCCCCCGCTCCCCCTCCTTTCCTTTCTCCTTCCTTCCTACCCTCCCCCCCCCACCCTGCCTCTCTTCTTTCCAGACAGGGTCTCTCTATATAGCACAGGCTGGCCTTCAACCTTTGGCAATCTTCCTGCCTCAGTCTCCTGTGTGCTGGGACTACAGGTTTGCACATTTTAAAATCACTCCGCATGGAATCACAGATTCATTTCATACTTGGAATTATAACCCAGTGCTACAACTTGTTGCCCGAATTGTTCCAGTGCAGCCATTGGGAGGGCTCCAGTGTGCTTTTGATGTTATTCTGCCAATGTGGGTCTCCTCTGTGGTGTGGCCACTGAAATTGGCTTTCACTTTAGTTTTAGCATTAACAGCATGTTAGTAGTCTGCCACACGCACCTTTGGGATCACACAGAGGGATTTAGGCAGAGTTTAACAGAAAGAATTTCTGGTAGACATTATTCCCAGCATTTGGGAGGCAGAGGCAGGTAGATCTCTGTGAATTTGAGGCCAGCCTGATCTACATAGTAAGTTCCAGGCCAGCCAGGATTACATAGTGAGATCTTGTTTCAAAAAAATTGTTTTTTTCTGGGTTATGGCTTAGAGGATAAAAGCACTTTCTGCACAAGCCTGATGACTCGAGTTCAATGCCCAGAACACTCAGTGGAAGGAAGGAACGGACTCTCGAAAGTTGTTCTCTGACTTCCACACTCAGGACATGGCATACCGCCCCATCATAATAAATAAAATAAATGTTAAAAGTTCTAAGAATTCTGTTTCCCCTTTCTTCATCTTTCCTTCCTGGGATGTCTTCTAATACTTTCCAGCTATTTTTTGTGACTCCAAACTCTGTCCTTGGCTTCTACGTGACAGCAGGCCTGAAGACTTCCATCCCTGTCTCTGACGGTGGCTTCATGCTCTAAAAGTGATAAAAACTGGAAATTCAACAAATGCTTTTCCATGAGTCCAAATATAGGCAGCACCCCAGGGTTGCCTAGTTTTGGCCATTCTCTAGGGCCATCTGGTTATCATTTTAAATTTTAAAATGACATTGATTCATTCATTAATTGTGTTGGGGGAAGGTTTTCTCCTGTGTAGGTTTTCTTCTGGGGAGGGTTCTTCTGTGGCTTTTTTTTTTCCCCTGATGGCGACACTTTTCTCAGTGAGAAAGGAAGCAGTGTTATCTGATAGGAGAGGAGGTGGAGTGAGGGGCAGATTTGCCTGGGAGCAGCTACAGTTGGGCTAGCTGTGATGGATGCGGATGCCATATCCCTCCAGCACTTTTCCCAAGTAGGAGGAGCTGCACCCAAACTCAGTTTCCAGTGT